GATCTTGAATCAACCACAAAACGTAAAACTTATTGTATGCAAACAACCTAGGGTAGCCGACGCTACTTTCGAGAACAAAAATCACCCTTGTATTAACGATTTATTCTTTTTATAACTTACACAAACATTAGATCAAGATCGGATTCGAGCAAGTTTCTGTCGCGTTTTAAAATGGCTAGCGTAGACAGCCAGGCCAACCGAGAAAACAGGAAAATTGAAATTATGTTTAGATCAAGCGTCAACAGTTTGATTGCAACAACTTTTTGTCACGCTGCCTATTTTGTCGGGGGAAAAATTATGCAACCTCATTTTTTTTCAACCAAAAATTTCAATTCAAATTATAATGAGTTGTTTTGCTTGCAACTCTAGTGTCAAACAGCAGTAAACAAAACATGATCTAGAATTACTATTGTCAAAAGTATTTCCTCAAAACTCATTTGAGTTTAGCATATTTACTCAGCATACCAAATTTGTATGTAAACAGCATATAAAAAGTTCAGCACAATTCATCGAGCTAAAGTTTTGTTTTCATTCTCCTTGACTTTTATTATGGTTGTAAATAGAACAAAAATTGGTCTCTTAACCTTTTCGCCGTTCCAGCCTACTTATAGATCTAATAAAGCCAGGAAATAAGAGAAGGGTTAAAACCACTATTAGACAAAGTAGTTGCACGAACTTATTGGGCCGAATAAACATGACAAACAGACAATGGAATCAATCTGAAAACACTCTAAGAGGTGTCGCGCCAGACAAAATGGGGCTTGTTGACTGTCTGGCGCGACACCTCATCCCATCTGGTGTGAAACCCCATAAACACCCGCATTTCAAATTATATGAGAGTGCAGAGCCTGAAAACTAGTTGATATTTTAAAGAATTTTAAACAGGGTTTAAGTGTGTGTTGACTTAAGTCGCCCAAAAAAAATACAAAGTTTCCACGAAAAAAAGCTAAAGTATTTGGAGTGTAACTCCATTTACCAAAACAAAGCTTCATTGCCAAAGGTTTCTCAAAAAAAATTTGAGTAAACCAAATTAAATTTATCACTTACTTACTTTTGTCTTGGAGAAAATGTTTTTTTAAAAGCCAAATAAATGTTCAACTCGTTGCCAACAGTTGCCAAAAAAACTGCCATTAGGCTGCCGGAACTCTGCATGAGCATTGGAGCTAAATTAGACAACTTGCCTGAGTAGGCATTCACTACAGAGTAAAATTCACCACCTTTACGCTGCGGGAGGTGTGAAATTAAAAGGAATGTAAGATTGGTTTATAAGAACAATTTTCCATGACGATAACATAGATCTTGCGTGAACATTTGAATTGAATAGGTCCTTGATGATGGGACAAAAGAGGAGAAAAAGCCAAAGAAACTAGCTTTGAGAAAAAACGAATGCCTGTAAATTCGTGTCACTCGTCGGCGACATTGGCGCCTCTGCGAAATCGGCGCTACATAATTTATGAATCCAGCACTGGATCTGTATTGATAGCTCAGCAAAGAGGCTCGTGTAATAGAATCTGTTACAAAAGTGACTAATAACAACCCGGTATGTCGATGCGGATGGACTACCTGTGACAAGGAAAATTTATGCAAATTAGGTACACTTATGTGATGTCCTGGTAAAAAAAGAGTGATCGCAGAAGAGTTAGGAGATGAAGTCAATGGGCTCTATTTTCATTGTCCTTAAATTTTTTACTTGGTTATTTTGTTAAACGGCTTCCTAAAATCATCATTTGTTTGCCGTAATACAATCTTGTTATGCGATTATCACTAAGGTCGTGCCTGGTTACAATAATTTACTGACTTTTCAAACAACTCCTAAATATGTATTGACGACTTCGCAGGGGTTAAACGCATAAAGACGAAAGCAAATGTTGTCTTCTAGCTAAAAATTGGTGGATAGAGGCGGAATTTTTCGATTGCGTGATTCAAGTAATTGGTAACCAGTAAAAATAAAAAATCGATGAAGCAGGTGGTTCAGAACGACGGAACCACGAATTGAAAATGCAACTCATCAAAAAAATCAAAAAAGTTGTAGCTGCAAAAAACAGTTTCCTGGACGAAGCCATGTGTTTCAGCAATAAAAATTCAAACCCTCTTCAAGCTGCTGCGAAAATACGAAAGTCTCAATTTGATTTTTAAAACAATGTTGTATGATGAAAATTTGATGTCGAAAAAATAAACATTTTTTTCCTGAATATTTCAAACTTTTTCATTTGTTTCTCATCAAGGAATTGGCCCAAACAGGGCTTATTTAATCATTGTTTAACTTTTTGCGCATCTTTTTTTTCTGGATTGTGAATTTTCGGATTCTCTGTATGGATTTTGCTACAACAATTTGTGATAAAACGACCTCAAACTTTAATGTCAGACTGTAAAACAGATCCATACACTTCAACAGCAACTGATTTCAAAACTACTACAAACTAGTCAAAATGATTGAATCAATCATAACTATCCGACTGCAAGCAACCTAGAGTAGCCGACGTCATATGTTAGCTAACTTAGCGGTCAAGGTTGGTCAAGTTTATGAAACTTTAGTACCATAAACCACGAACAACCATCGTTGGTTGGATGATCCACCCTTGTCCCAACACTTCACTTGTGTTGAAGTCTGGTTTTACTTTTAAATGGGTAGCCTAGGCAGCCAGGCCAACCGAGAAAACATGAGGTAAAATAAGTTTAGATCAAGCGTCGACAGATTCAGTACAATGACTTAATGTCACGCTATCTATATTCGACCGGATACAATTGTGCAACTAAATTTATTTCGACTACAATTTTTTATTGTTCCGACTTTCGATGCGAAAGTAACGGAGTGTATGTGCTCGGGGTCGGTTTTTTTTTCTTTAGACAAATTTCGACTTTTTAACTAGCCATTTTTGACGGAATTTCTTAACATCATTCAAAAGGTATTGTTGTCTTGAGCTCAAGTTACAAATAATATTTCACCTGTGATCAATTTTTGTAAAGTTATGGGGGTTAAACATTGCCAATTTGACTAATTTGGGACAATTAACGCCAATTTGGGAGAGTTAGTCCGTCTTAGAAATCGTTTCAAATTGGTTGAAAGAAACTTGTTTGCCATGATTGATTTGTTAAAAGGAGCGGAATCTATCCTTTTGTACTTTATATGGCGTGTGGAGTGATGATTTTCAAAAAAAAATTCTGAAAGAAAAATTTTCATTTGGTTTTTTTTATTTAACTTTTTAAAGTTATTACTGCTCCATAAACCATAAAAGGCAGTTGGAACATTCAGGGCTTCGCCCTGATACGAGCAGTCTTGTTTCAATTTTTAATGGATTTTTTGTGTGAAATTTTAGTGCGGAATAGCAATAAAGAAAGAAAACTTAAGCAAGGTCTACAGTTACCAGAAGTAATTCCCCAAAGCTCATATCAGGTTAGACTTTTCACTAAGCATAAAAACTATATGTTTGAACTGAACCTTTTTTATAAAATAAACACTACTCAACAAGTTTTTTGTTAGTGCTTCTTGATTTTTATTTTCATTGTAGAATATCTATTGCGATATATAAAGTATCAGAATTCGTAACTAATCTCAAAATTCTTATTAGCTATACCAGTGTTGAATTAAATAGAACAGAAAACTTTCTATGAGATAGCCGATAACCCCCATCTTATATGGTGCGACCGCTCATCCCATCTGGTGCGACACCCCACAAACACCCATTTTTCAAATTTTAAGTTGTATCTAGAATCTAGAAATTTGAGAATCTAGAAGCAATAAATTAATTGAGGCATTAGTTTTATTTGAAAAAGAGTTTAAGTGTGTGTTGACTTACTTGTCAGAAAATGATACCTTTATTCAGCGAAAAAAAAACTAAATTTGCTGAAGTATAACTCCATCCCAAAAATGAGCAAATGAGCTGCCTTGCTCAAAATTTCTCAAAAATATAATTTCGAGAGTTTAGTGAGAGAAATAGTTTAACCCTACTAAATTTAACACTAATTTTGTGTTTGAAAAATAATTTTTTCAAAAAAGCGATAAAATGTTTCATCTGTATTATGGTGGTAATATATAATAAAATTAACCCGAAAACCTGGCTTTTACAAACAAAGGTCATATCAAAATTTTTTTGTGCATACAATTGTTTTTTGCATAGAGCCGATTAAAAAATTTTCTTTTTTCTCCTTGTTTAGATATCGTTTTTACGAATTGATTAAAATTATTTTTAAATGGCATACTTCATTCTGTTTCAGCCAATGAAAAAAAAACATCAAAAATATCAAACTAAATTATAAATGTGAAAATACTCTGGTTGGTCTTGTTGCGACAGGGTGTTTTTACGCACGCGACCAAATAACCTAAAAAACAGAGAAAATAGATCTAATTTTGATTTGTGGAAATTGGTCAGCTATTGATTATGGAAACTAGTATTGCGAAAAAACGAAAACTCGGGTAACTTTTATTTATAGCTTGAACTAGTTTTTGTTTTAGTCATAGAATTTATCATAAGGCTTTCATGCAATATTCTACGCTTCTCATATAACTGGAATACTATGCGTAAAATTTTTGTGAAGCTGGTTTTTGTAGAGGCGTAGTTTCATTGGTTAAATTACAAAAAGAATTCCATGTCCATAGTTTTCTCCCGCAAAAGAAAAAATTGCAAGCAAACATGAATTGTCAATAAAACAAATGCTCAAAAATGAGTATTCGGGAAAAATCTTCTTTTCCAGATTTTTTGGTGCAATAGCAATTCCGTGATTCAATCAGCTATGTGTTAGAGTACTTTCTTGCATAAAGTTGATTATGGTTACGCTATTTTTAAAAGGCTGCTGAATGCAGTTTTTACTTAACAGCATATTGATTTAGTTGATCAGATCGTTTTATTGTATGTTTTAGTAAGACAATTCAGGAGGTACAACGATATTTTAGTTGCTTGGGTACAAATAAACTTCTATTTTTACCGTTTTGCGTCATTACTTCTGGTGTCACGTTTTTAAAAAAATCAACTGCTCTACAGTTCACATAAGTAATTCAGATACCGTTTGCCAAATACTTTGAGTATATGTTTTATAACTGACTTAGAATAAATTCGTATTTTTCACTCGTTTTTCATTACTTATAATTATATTATATTTTTTAAAAGATTCATGTTCAAACTGAATCTGCCAGCAATTACTTATCAGGCGTATCTGTAACATAGAAATCGAAAGTTTTTGTCATTGCATGATTCTCAAAAATGGCTTCAGGATCCTCCGGCGGCCCAAAATGTTCTATTTGTATTGATTACCTCGAAAATCCCCTTGCCTTACCTTGTGGGCATTCCTATTGTGGACCCCCTAAACATTGCCTCCAAGGAATCAAACACGGAGAACGTGGAACGTCTACCAAGTGTGCCGTATGCAGTAAAGAATTTCCCGGAATAAACGTGTCTGACTTGAACCCATTGTACGGAATCAGAGAAGCCTTGCCTCAGTTATCAGCCAGACAAAGAGATAATGCGGATGGCTGGCCAAAATGCACAAATCATGGCAACAGAATCATTCTTTGGTGCGATGACTGTGCACTTGGCATGTGTTCGGATTGCATGGAAGCAGGACACTCAACTCACAGCTTCCGAAGCTACAAAGAACGCATGAAAGAACGGGCGCTAAAATTTCTAGATAAACTACCCCAAATAGATTCAAAAATAAAGGGACTTGGAGGATCTATCAATAGACACAACGTACAGATAACCGAATTGGAGCAAAAAATTTTGGAGCTAAGGCAAAATATAAAAGACCACCAGGAGGAAATTTTGAAGTTGAGCAATGAGAAAAAACGACTTCAGAATATTATGGCTATGAAGCAAACACTGGAATCTGTCGCAAAAGGTCAGGAAGTAGCCTCCAATACAAATATACACACATACTTGAGGGAAGATTCAATTTTGAAATTGAATGTCGACACTGTTGCTTTCACCTTCACAGAAAAAATGCTGACAAATGAACGTGCTTGTGATACAAAAAAGCACCAATGGAATAACTGGGATCTCAAATTATACTTTCAAGAAAATCCGATAAAAGTTCTTCTCCGTGTTTGGGGTACTTGCGGAAACAGGCTCAACAATATTTTTCTACGCATCAGACTCCATCTATTAAACGACTCACCCGAAAAAACAATCTGTGAGGAATTCAATGAGCCAGCACAGTCGACTATCGATTCCCGCTATTATTTTCTCAAAATTCCGCCTTGCGCTGTTTCTAATCCCAATCTTGGTTTCATTTCGAATAACCAGATTACAGTCAAAGTCGAAATTTTAAACGACTAAACTGTTGCATGTCTTCGAGAGGATCTTAACACTCTAACTTCATCGACTCTACCACCCTTTTTGTATGAAAACCTCTGACAAAGTTCATTTATTATTTGTTGAAATTAATGACTTCTACTTTTTAACAAAAAAATTACTCAGAAACAAGTTAGAATAGAATAAGGTTGAGATCGAGTGTAAAACCATTCTTGAATTTAATTTGAATTGTTGGCAAGAGTTTGTACATAGGTCAACCAGGCCCTTCTAGATGAGTTTGTATGCATAGCAATTTCTCAGTGGCTTTTTAAGAGGCTGAATTGCTCTCTGCGCTTGTTAAAATTGGAACTCGCACTCGAGTTATTTTTTTTCCTTTAATGGAGTATTGCACAACTTGAAATAAACTTCTTTTAAGGATAGATTTTGACCATAAAAATTAAAACATTTCAACTGTGAGTGGGGTTATCTACACTATAACAAATTTTGTTCCAGAACTATCAAGGTTTTTTTTAAAAACTTGAATTTAAATTCGATCACGTATTCCTGAAAATGATATTCTAAAACAATGTTAGTGCCTTGCTTTTTCTTAGATTGCCTCATTTTAGTTGTAATGAAAAAGCGTTTTGCAAGCGCCAATCTGCAACTTCGAAAAATACTAGCAATTAGGTTTGTCACGAAATTTTTGCCCATATATTTGATCATGGTGAACAAATTATCAGCGAATAGCTGCTCAGTTGACTTTTGAGTCAAATATTTTTTGGCAAGTCGAAATCGCCTCAGAGAAAATCAAGAGATTGATACTCAGGCAAGACATATTTTTGATAAACACATTTTAGCCTGAAAACAATCTTTTTGTTTGCAAAAATTTTCCGAACTAGGCCAATCGCCCTTTTTAGCAAATGTTATTAGTCTTGAGTTATTCCTGTCATAATCTATCTCTTTATGAATTCATCATAAATAATTGGAAAAAAATTTACGAATAGAATACATGCTAATCGCAACTGGATATAAAATTAATAATTAACATAACTTGGATGATAAGTTCCGTGATAGCGGATGCGTCGAAATCGTATACTTAAAACTCAAATTTGCAAAAACTGTGATTTATCTAAGTCGAGCAAACTCAAATCCTCTTCTGTGACGACATTCGTATTCGTATATAGGCTTCGGTTCAGAGCGTCGATGGAAGCTGGGTTGTAGGAGGGCATTGGATAAATGGGGGGAAGGGAGTCGGGGGGTGATGGAAGATCGGGTTCTGGCAGTGAACAGACCATGGAGCGTGCACAGTGCACAAAGTTCTCACGCATAACAGTGGTCAATTGAATCTAAATGCAGTAAATCGAGCACTCAACATCCCTTCCCATTCCAGTTCAGCTGTTTGCAATCTTTAACATCAAAAATCTTTGTGTGTATTTCGTACCAATGTCAAATTTGAACTGAAAAGTGAGCCATAAAACTGCGACTTTTCTTAACGAAATAAAGCCTTCTAAATTCTTAAGAACGTATTCTTTGGCAGATTTTCTCCAAAATCTTGCAAGCATGAGTTTTACATAATTTTTGAATTAGCAAGTAATCATTTCTCCAGAAATAGTCCAATTGAAAATGTAATCAATTTTCTGGTGTTTTCAGGCGCGTATCCAGGAACTTCTCGATTGGGAGGGGCGGATTTTCAAAAATACTTTGAAAATTTTGTCGACCTATTTTTAGGTCGACCACATTCATTTTCTGAGCTCTCCCAAAGCATTAAAAAGACCCTGTTTTGGTCTAAATTTCAGCGCCACAGGCAAAGTTTTGAAAAACAGGGCAAAAAAGGTGTTTTTAGGCATTTTTTCGAAAATATTGACCAAAAAAATCGCGTTTTTTCGGCGCGCGCTCCCTTCTCAAAATTAGTATACATTGGCGCCAAAGGTCAGTCAGTCAAAAATGGATATCTCAAAAAAGTACAAAAGGGGGACCCTTTCGGTCGATGGGGGTCGAATCCCTGAGAGTAGGGGGGAAGGCGTCCGCCCCCCCCCCCGCCCTAAATCTGCTACTGATCATAAAAATAATCATAATCACAATAATAATGATAATCATAATAATGATTATAATAATCATAATAATGATTATAATAATCATAATAAAGATAAAAATAGTCATAATAGTCATAATAATAATAACGATAATAACAGGACTGCTCGTATCAAGGCGAGGCCCTGATTGTTCCGACTGCCTCTTAAGGTCTATGGAGCAGTAATAACATGGAAAAATTAAATGAAACAAAACAAAATGAAAAAAAAATTTTCCTAAAATTTGAAATTTTTTATGAAAATCATCCCCACACACCATATAAAGTACAAAAGATACATTCGCTCCTTGTAACAAATCATTTATGGCAAATAAGCTATTTTCAACCAATTTGGACCGATTTCTAACACGGATTAACTCTCCGCTTTCGCGTTAATAGCGCGAAATATATCGCGCGTTAATTGTCCCAAATTGGCCAAAATGCCAATCTTTAAATCCCCGTAACTTTAAGAAAAATGTTCACAGGTGAAATATCCTTTCAAAATTGAGCTCAGGACAACAATACCCTTTCGAATGATATTTTTTTTAAAAAATCCGTCAAAAATGGCTAGTTAAAAACTCGAAAACTGTCTGAAGAAAAAAAACCCACCCCGAGCACAATAGTAATCATAATAATAATCATAATAATAACAATGCTGCTCGTATCAGGGCGAAGACCTTAATTTTCCGACCGCCTTTTAATGTTTATGGAGCAGTAATAACATTAAAAACTAAATGAAGTAAAATAAATTAAAAATTTGTACAAAAGGATAGATTTCGCTCCTTGTAACAAATCAATTATGGCAAATCAGCTTCTTTCAACCAATTTGGAACTATTTCTAACACGGATTGACTCTCCGCTTTCGCGTCAGTAGCGCGAAATATATCGCGCGTTAATTGTCAATCGTTAATTGTCGCGTTAATTGTCAAAATGGCAATCTTTAAACCCCCGTAACTGTATGAAAAAAGATCACAGGTAAAATATCTTTTCAAATTCAAGCTCAAGACAACAAAATCTTTCGAAACCCACCCCGAGCACAAATATTCCGTTACTTTCGTATCGAAAGTCGGAACAATAATATTATTGATAATAATAATAATACTAATAAAAATAATCATACCAATTATTGAGGGCTGCATTTCTTCAATCACACCGTGTTTTATTGTTTGGAGAAGTCGTAAATTTTTAAAGTTGGATGCAGGGCGGAAACATACAAAAATAACAGCAACAGATTTAATGAATAAACTGACTTTACCTTGAGTCTCCTGGACTGGTGAATGGACACGACTACGAACTCGACTACACATACGCAGAATCCGAACAGAGATCCACCAATCAGAATGTAGAACACTCCCCACACGTCTCCTATCTCCAGTGCATTCGCATTCTCACTCTACACAAAAAAGACGTCAGAATCACAGTAGTTTTTAGAAAACAATCATTAGGTTTTTCTTTTGTAGCAACGATTGGTTGCAGTTATTCCTAATTGAGATTGATGGCTAGTTTTCTGATTAAAACTTAAGGAACTTTTGAATTGAAACTGAAATCCTACTACCAGAAAATTATCTTTTGAGCTGAAGTTCATATTTAAAATTAGTTTCGTGATTTTAGATGAAGTTTACCTGAAGTTTTAGAAAAATTTTTATCTCGTTTCCATTGAAATGAGACAACATCAATTTAGATAGGTTCTGTAGATAAAGGGGATTTCTTCTCTAGGTTCGTTCTCTCTTTCCTAACGACACCGCAAAGTCGTCCCTTAGGCAGTGAATTCAGTGGGGCGACCGAGATCCACTACTATCTACAATCCCGAAAGGGTTATTTCGGTGGCAACTATTCTGTATTGTATTATGTTGCTTGCCCCTCTGTGTATTGCTCTTCGGCTGTCTTGTCTCGTCTACTCGATACAATCGCAAGAATTTCCAATGATTAATTAGTTTAGATGATTATATGTCCAACTTAAGAAGGCTCTGAGTGGCCAGGATATAATCTGATAATTAAGTCAAAGAAAAGTGTCCGCGATTTAACGGCCAAATTGCCCATTTGATATTAACTTCCAACTAACTCCACTAACACTAACTAATCTCTCTCTCTCTCTCTCTCTCTAGAGAATCTCTTATGAGAACTACCTATCTACTGGTCTCTTACTCCGAAACCAAATACCTGACTAACTAGCAATAATTGTTCTATCTAACTAACGGAGAACCAACTATACTCTCTCAGTATCAATTGATCTCTTCTCTGATTGAGAACTAAGTACTCTTAATCGTAACTAACAACTGTTCTGACTCTGAAAGGCTCTCCGATACCCTCCAATTCCTTATCTTTCTTTACACTTAGTTTTAGTTAAGTCACGCCATTCCCTATCAGTCCTGACATCCGCCTAAATAACCCGACCGCACATGTTTTAAGGCTATATCCCTCCCCTGTCACTTCTGCCACATGCCAATTTCGTTTTTTTATCAATCTTTTCACGCTTATTAGATACCCGGTATGCGGTAGCTGTCACAATTTGACCAAGCAAACAAATGTCATACGATTCTAATCAACCAATTCCTGAACTCGGTGAACTTCAGCTCTCGAGTTCAACACAACCTCCAAACCAAGCCATGTTTACTCAGTCTTTATACCCAAGGTCTTTATTTTAATTATCCCGTTAACGTTCCGACCTCCCAAGGGTAGGGGGAGGCCCTTTTCATGGGTAACTAACCAATTTCAGGCATCTAAACTTTCTATCTGTACTTTATTCCAATTCCGATCTTCTAGCTATCAGGGGAACGTAGTTCGTCTACTAAGGGTCAAATCAAACCAGAAAGTCACCTCCGGGAAGCCAAGTAAAATCCCCGTCCATTCATACTATTTAAGAAACTTAACTCTTATGCTATGCTTCTATTACTACCAATTTCGTCTGGTACTACTTTTCTTTTACCCTGATTGAACTTCTATTAATAGATCACTCGCCCAGCTAAACTGAACCCAATGTTTACCAAGTCCACTTTAAATTATATCCTCTACTCCGAAGTTGCAATAAAATAGCTATATCTCTATCAGCTTCTGCTCTAGTTCCCAATAAATAAGTTTTCCCCCAATTTTTAGCAAGGTGACCCATTCTCATTTCCAGGGGTTGGGCTGGGAAATACGCCACTTTCTGGTGTTATTATTGGGGCTTTCCATGCAATTTGGTCCTAAGCGCCCAAAGGTCAATTTGAGGTCAACCCGGGGTCACCCGTGGTTTAACTTCCATTTTTGGGTTCAAAATCTCATGGGGGTCCTAACTGCCAAGTTTCATCCGTATCCCGTTAAAACTTCCCAAGTTATCTCATTTCTAAGGTCCATTATCACTTTTCCCGGGAAAAGGCCATTAACACCGGAAGGAGTCGCCGGAGGGGTTTCAATCACAGGGGTTCTTTTTTCGGGGATGAGTTGTAGTATCTGATGCCGCCATAAAATCGATATGCACTCGCTCATTTTTTTGCGTAAATTGCCTACTTCCCGTTCTAAGGGGTGGTTTTCCAAAGTGCTAATAACTTCCGGTTCAACCGCTGGATTTGGTTCAAATTATAACACAAGATGTATCTTGCCACTACCTATGCTATCATAAAGTTTTAGCTTCCTGCGTTCAGTGGGGTCCGAGAAACGACTCCCGGAAGTCGGGTGGGGTCTATTTGCATAGGGCATAAAACCGGAAGTACGGGTCAAAGGGATCTGGTTTTCTGAACTTAAGCTTCCCTCAACTAGGTGTAGAACATACTATATTTTGGTTCCATTCCGACCGCTAGTTACCGTGTTCTGATAGGGCCATTTGCACTTCCGGGAACCGTTATCACTTGGGGCCGGGGGATCTGATGGTTATGGATTTTTGCACGCCCGGGTCAAATCATCTCTAGTATCCGTCCTATGAGTTTCATAAACCTAGCCGCTGTAGTTCCCGTTTGGGGGGGTTTGCAAATCTTACTTCACCTGAGTTTTCTGCCGTAAGAGGGACTATATTTTCGAAGATTCAACTGTTTCGAACTTTACCCTTTGTTTGCTGTACTACTTAATTTAATGACGAATCAATCTTACGCTCAGGTTACTATCGCTTGAAATACAGTAGAATCACCAATTCTACAGGTTCAATGAGATTAAATTGTGAAAAAATGATGTACATTTCTTGCGAGAGGAAAGAGTTCGTGACATAACATTTCCTGAGTTTCAAAATTTTGTTCAACTCACCGATGCGGCGTTCCTCTTGAACTGACAGGCCCCCTTCTCATACCACCAGTAGTTCTTCCTCTCCGAAATGAACCCCCTCTCCATCAGCACCAAAATAGCCACCGTCAACTGGTTCAGCAGCACAGAGCCAGAGGGGGTGGCGATGCCGTAGTTCTTGGAGTTGAGGTTGTTGCCTATCTGGCGTGTGTTGCAGGGCAGTTGTTGGTTGTGGTACTCGTTCATCGTGGACTCCAGCAGGAATGCGTAGTTCTGGTTCTCGCGCACCGCATCAACTCCATCTTGCACCTGGAATTTTTGTCTTTTTTCACGTCAATTGATAACCCGGGTTGACCAAAAGCCGCTATCTTAAACCTTTTCTTAGAACTTCATACCATGCTCGAAGTTTTTTAGTTTGGATACGTTAACTCGATGGAATGGATCAAAAAGAATTTCTGCTTATGGCCATGTTTTAACTGATTTTTTTTTTGCATGAATTAAGCATACGATGAATTTATTCATAAGGCATTCTATATTGCGTTTAACGGATGCGATGGACATCCGAAGAGAAAAAAAACAGTTGTTTCCTTTAAACCTTGTTGAAAACCAAAGTAGAAATTGCATAGCTTGGTTACAATTTAAAAAGCTGTAAGCTCACTGATGGCTTGAAGGTGTCACGATCTTCCATGAATTTATACATTCTCTGATACGATCCAATCTGAGACGTCTTGAAGAAAGACTTACTCGACCCCGAATCCAGGGTACCATACTCAATCGCGGTCTGAGCCGCCAAGTCGTCCGCTCCATTAACCGGAGTCTTCATCCGGTCAACTGTCAGAAATGCTGCCAAGTTAGCTGTATAGCTGCTGATTATAATCAGCGTGAAAAACCACCACCCTCCCCCAACAATACGTGAAGAAACAGGGCTTTCTTTTGTACACATATCTTCACCTCGTTGCAAAACAGCTCCTAGGGTTAAGAAAAAACAGTTCGACAAAGTGTATTTGAAGTCTTCGTCTTGATTCGCTCGCTCCTCGGGTCTTAGCCAGGCTCGTAAACTGATTCGGCTCACGACAAAGTAAACTACACTGACCGAAATGTAAGACAGAATTATACACATCCAGATATCTGTTTGGAGTGGAATCAAAAACGAGAACATATTTTTCTCTTTTTCTTGGATTCTCATCATGATGCTCACACCGACGTCCATATATGGCTTGGTAAAGTCCACGACGCGTTGTCGTTCCGAAGATATTGTCAATGGTGCAATCGCGATGTCAGCTTGACCTCTCATCAACTCTCCAATCATTCCGTTCCAGGACCCGTTTCTCAACTCCTCGCCGTATTTTCCATCGTGAACAAGATGCAGTTCAAAAGTCATATTAGTCTCTTTAGCTATTTCTATTAGCATGTCGATACAAAAACCTTCGAAATTTTCCGTGCCATTCCGATTTTCAGTACTGACTCCCTGTTTGAACATAGTGAATGGTTCTGTTACGATGGTGACGACTCTTATAACTGAGTTCTTAATTTGCGTCTTCGAAGGTTCTTCCTCTGCCTCTTTTTCGATAACCTTGAAACCCGTACTGTCATTCCAGTAGCCGATTGTCATCAATGTTTTAGTCGCCGCGTTCGCTTGGACAATGTCGAGTCCGAAATTTTTCCTCAAACCAGAAGCTGAGTCGAATTCAATATTTCCAGAGAATCCTGCCATTTTTAACTTTTTCAATTGGTCTGCAATTATCCACCCAGCTAGTGGACTAATTTCGAGGTCCAGGCAGGGCTTACTTTGACCGTAGGGAGGTGTTCGGAACCTTCGCGACCTCGGGCTGAACTTTTCTAGGGCTTCAGAGACTATGGGATTTGCGTATATTTTGTAGAATATTAAGTGGAAGTCGGCAAGAAGTGCAAGCTCATACTAAATAAAAAAATTCATTGGGTTATAACCGGTGAAAGAAAATAAAATTCACCTTCAATAAGGTTGATAAACCTTAACTGCATAGCTGCGCCCAATATATGTATAATCAATAAACCAGTGAATTACTTTTTCTCATGAGGGATTTAAAAGTTTTGCAAGGATGCTGGCGAGTTTTTAAGTTTTTTTAATGAGAGCGAATTTTCCGAGTTTTTCAAGTCCTGATCTAACTGAAAATTTTCTTGAATAAAACTAACATCAGTGAGAAGAATTCCATCGTTATCATCTTTCGTCGGTTCATCTGGGTCTGTGCGTTTAGCCGAAGACGTTCCCATCAGTTTGATCATTTCGGCCTTGAGTTTGGCGAACTGGATCTGGGACTCTTTGGGCATAAGGTGGCGGAAGCAGAATACATTCAGTTGACCAGTGATCATAAAGTGCATATTCCCACATGACACTCTCTAAATGATATCCTGACATTCATGAATTAAGTTCCATACAATAAAGTTTTGATTCTGACAAGTTTCCAATTTTATATCTCTTAAAATTCTGATAAGTTCGAACAATTGGCTTTGAAAATGACATTTGTAATGCAAGTTTTTGATTACAAGTTTGAACAGTATAAAAAGCTAACGCGCTGAAACTTTTTCGCAGAGCTCATGTTTTTTGTCTTACGCTATATGTTATATGAAACAATGATCGCGGACCTTGACCTTTCGCTCTTCGAGTGACTCAGGAACGATGACTCACCGTGTCTGCAATGAGATAGTTGTTAAATCTGTTCAACATCTGCAACTCCTCTGCCAGCTTCACAATGAGATAAGTGGTGTCAGGTGACGTCAGCAGGAGGAAGTTGGCCCCACTAGTCTCCTCATTCCTGCCTGCCTGTTGGTAGTCTGACAAGTACCTCTTCGCTGACCTGAGAGAGGTCACGTGTTTCACCTCCATCGCCATCTCCTGCCGCATGAACAGAGTCGAAGCATGTCTGAAGTTGTCGTTCACTGGAAGAAAACCAAATGTTGTCTCTTTTTTTGAACACCTCTTAACCATTTTTTATGAATTAATTAAGTAAAACGTTAAGAAACATGAAAATGGTATGTTGTTCTTGAAAAAGCTATGACCATTGAAGTTTGTGATCGTCAGCGTCTGCAACTTTTCAGCCAATAAGTTCAGTGCTTGAGTGCGGAAAATTGAAATGCCAAAAATTTCAGCTGTTCCAAAAACAATCTATGCTATCTGACATTCTTTTCATCAACTTTCGCTTTTTTTCTAATTTACCAATGTCGTCGTCGTAGAACACAACAGCGCTTGTCCAGTTATTGAAATACATGTAATCAAACACAGCCTTCTCAATATGCGGCATCAACTGGAACGTATTCCCAGTTTGACCCCTTCCCGTCATCTGGAACAGTTTGGGCACGAAGTTCTTGGAAGCCAGAGTGACATGTGGTACGTCGAATGCACGCGTGAATGAGTCCAGTGCCTGTATTGTGGTGTCGTCGTCTCGCACAGAGGAGAAGACGGAACTGATGCCGAATTTGAAGGCACGGCAAACTAGAAAGAATTAAATAACCATAGGATAATTCCCCAGAAACTTCTCAAGTTTTGTCTACGATTAGGGTTTGGCACCAGTATTCAGATTTAGAATCGTTTGGTACCAATTAATAGGGTTGATGCAAATTAAAAACTAAAACAAAAAAGTTAACATCCACCCCCCCCCCCCCCAAGCGGCACATGCAGCGCTTAGCAAATTTAATACGAATTAAACGCTGGGGTGGATGGATTTTTAGGATGTTAACTTGATCTCAAAAAAGAATATAATAACTCTTAATGGTCAGACAACAAAATCATCGCCAAGTCAATAATAAAGGCAATATATTTATTTTAAATTCTAAATCTATGATTTGACTCACGGTCGTCTGCGAGCATGAATGAGTCATTGGCTGTTTTGTGCTGGACCTTGTAGGGTGTGGAAGGGAATCTGCCGGGCACTGCCTGTATCTTCCGGCTGAGGTTGAACAGACGCGCTGAGTGGATTGATACGTCATCTGTGCCAAAGAAGGCCGCTGCAACAAATGAAATTTTAGCTGTACTTACTTCAAAAAATAATGTTTTGTTTTGCTCATAACACCAATATTTATACATATACTATTTTAAGGCTGCAAAAATTTTCAAACACACGGACAATTTTTGACCCAAATTCCGTACTCGAAAACAGTACTCCGGGCCGAGCGAAGAGGTCAAACAGATTCTCGAAACCAAAAATGACCGACCAAAAATTCAAAACTTGGTTGAAACTAGGATTGGTTTTAGGTGTGTTTATAGGTTTTGCGAGAGCTCGAAAAATCAACTTGTTTGATCTAAAAAAAATGTGAGCAAAAAAATCCAAGATCTGCAGATAAAGTCGAAAAATTGTAAGACGCAGTCAAATAGATATAGCATTGTGACGTCAAGCTCGATCTTAAAACACGGCACATATTTTGCGTGTTTTAGAGACTTTTGTCAGTGGATTATTCCACAACCAAATGATCCCTGCAAAAAATACCAACAAAACTGCTTGTATCAGGGCGAAGCCCTGAATGTTCAGACTGCTTTTTAAGGTCTATGGATGGAGCAGTAATAACATGAAAAAATTCATCATTACGAGCCCAAACTGTTCTTTGTATAGGCGCACAAATTTGAGTCTGTATGTTCCTGTATTCTAGAGGCAATTCTTTAAATATGTTCGATTTTTGTCGGAACGATTAATGAAAGAAAAAAAGAAGAACAATTTTTTTTTTAATTTGAGGTTTTGTTGAGAAAACCATCCCCCCACACGCCATATAAAGTGCAAAGTGATACATTTTGCTCCTAGTAACAAATCAATTATGGCAAATAAGCTTTTTTCAACCATTTGGAACGATTTAAAGATGGATTAAATCTCCGCTTACGCGTTGATAGCGCAAAAAATATCGCGCGTTAATTGTCTCGAATTGGCCAAATTGGCAATCTTTAAACCCCCATAACTTTACAAAAATTAATCACAGGTGAAATATCTTTTCGAATGGAAGCTCAGGACAACAATACTTTTTGAATGATGAAAAAATCCGTCAAAATGGCTTGTTGAAAAGTCGAAATTTGTCTGAAGAAAAAAAACCACCCGAGCACAAATATTCCGTTACTTTCGTTACGAAAGTCGAAACAACAAGCTATTTTTGTCTATGAAATCCTGAGACAAACTTGTTACGGCCATTGAAGAGAATTCCTTTACATGTCGCTGCTTTCCACAATCTGTCAGTGCTTGAAGGATTATTTTTACTTGGCGAGTTTTAGTCGACACTTCGATCACTTTTTTGGCGAAAAATTTGTTCTTCATTTCATCAACTCTACCCCCATCCCCACATGCAGTCACACACACACACACACACTTACACTCACATACGATTTCATTTTGCGAACTGCACGGGGAGTTTTCAGCGTCTCGTGAACTTTAATAAGACCAGAAAATGTTTTAATCCGCCGCTTGCACATGCTGTAAGAACGCTAAAGATTTCGTGTAAGCTCTCCCAGTTTGGCCGAATTAACATTTTTCAAACCCCCAGAAAATCCCACATGTAAAAAATTGAGCTCTGGTTTAAAAAAAATAGCCAAAAATGATTAATTACAAACTTGAAAACTTTTTGAATAAAAACCGATAAAAACAGGATAAAAAAGGCCTAAATTTTCAGTACTTTCTTTAAAAGTCCGGATAATGACCCTCTTTAGTTCTTATTTACAGCAGAAAACGATTTTATTTAACAATTGAACAGATTTCAACCCGCTGTAAGCGTTCTTTAAAGACTCAGATGAACATTGACTAGCATCTTTACAGCTTTGTTTTGAGTTTTCAGCTTTGAAAGTTTTGAGTTTTGAAATTGTGAGTTTCGTGTTAAATTTTAGTTTTGAAAATTTGGGATCTAAGATTAAATAGATTGTTTACAGATTATATGTAGACTATATCAAATCTATAAAATAATGTATATATTTTAAGTCCAGTATTTATTCGCAATAAATGCAAGCTTATACAATCAAATCAATTTTTAAACATGACCCAGGTTTTTAATAGCCAATTTTTGGTAGAAAAAAATCAACATTACAGTTTGTATGAGGATTTAATCAAATCTGCAAGTATTCTTTAGAGTATTTGAGTATAGGAGTATAAAAAACTTAAATGCAAATCAATCAAATCGATTTTTGAACGTGATTCACGTTCTTAAAAGCCAATTTAGATTAATTCAAACAAATTTAAATTTGAAATTGTTTAGGTTCAATGATAGTGTGTTCAATGCTCATGACGTATTAACATAAAAGTTGGGATTGAAATTAGTACCGCATGACAATTATTACTCGAAAAAAAGTTTAGGTCTTTAAAAAATTTCAAAATAATCTAATTTTTGAAAACATTTGGAAAAAAACTAACTTCGAAAAAAAATTTTGAAAAAACTAACTTCGAAAGAACAAAAAAACTAACTAAGCCTTGCAGTTTCAAAATTAGGGTTTTAGTTCTAGAAAAATCAGTTCTGAAAATCTTCATTTCGGTTATGAATTTAAGCTTTGATTAATTTGGTTTGCTAATTTTGTATTTTTTTGAAACTTCGGTTCACTGAATGCCGCCCTTGTTTTTTTTCTACTTTGATGTGGTTTAGAATTGTTTCTGCTGAAACTTTCAAAAAATACAATTTTGAAAGTGAAAGTGATTTTGGAAATTTTTTTGACATAACGTTTATGATTTGTTCAGAGAGTTTTATAATTGAAACAAATATTTTTGCTTAGTTATTTTTTAAAATTCTAGACGCAATAACAACTTCATCGTTAAAACTTTTAAATAGAAAAAAAGTTTAGGTTGCTTTTGTTTTCGAGACTTCAATGTGTCATAAAATCAATTGGTGCTCTAATTTTGATTTTTATAGGCAATTTAATGATTTTTTGAACAATTTTTGCGCTCAATTTTTTTTGATCAATTTCATAATTTTACCGTTTAAATTTGAACCCATTTTTTTGTTTCCTGACGGGCTTCGCAATTTTATAGCATTTTAGCCCCGAACTCTGATTTAGATTACCAATTTCATGATTTTATGAGAAAATCGTAGGTGCAAAATCTTACATTCATTCACCGAGTTCATGATTTTTTAACACAATTCTAGGCACTTTTTCAAACAATAGCCATTTTTGAAAAAAAATATTTGCAAACGTATTTTTCTGAATTTTATTCGATTTCATACAACCTCTGGGGTTTTTCTATAGAAGCAAAGTATATTGTTTATTCTGAAAAACCCTATATTATCCAATTTAGTGCATGATTTGATTAGATACAACTGAACCATTACAAATAATGTATAAAAATGGTTTATTATTGATTACAATGTTAGTTTTTTTTTCGTTGCGGTCCGCAATAACTGGACATTTTTCGCCCTGACGCGTCCTCAGTTTTGCATTCAAATATCAATTATTTGGGCCTTTTGGAAGCGACTCAATTATTATATTGTCGGCTGCTATCATTTTTTGATCTTGCGCATGAGAACAGAAGAAAAATTCCAGTCCCCATTTATTTTCCACTCCCCCTCTACTTTTTGTTTGTTAATTCATTTTGTTTATAAAAACAGGGGTGAAAGACTCAAAAAGAGCTCAAAATATTAAGAGCCTACTGTTTTTGGCTAATGTATTTTGGTTGGAAATTTCATCTTGGTATTGATGTCTTTATCTAGACTTAGATATTTTGATCACCATTTTTAAGGTTATACATTTAAACGGACCTTTTAAGGTTATACATTTAACAGGGATCTAAGTAGCATGACTTCTTTTGAATTTTTCTTCCAGGAACAGAAAAAACTTAACTCCAGAGAACAACAAGGCGTGGTTATTAGGTTATAAGTAGTAAGTGCCCAAGTATAAACCCACGCTCATTTTACTCCCTGGTGATTTTATAGTAATGAAAGTGAGCTGGACTTGCATTAATTTTACAAGAAAACTCTTTCGTCACAATTAATTTGCAATTTCCTGCTGCAGGGTAAAATTGTAATCTAATTATTTCATACCACTCTATGATCATGTGTAGGGGCTTTCAATAAAATTTTCAGGGGCTTGGTGCAAAATTCACAAACTTTATGGTTATTTGGTTGCAAGAAACGCCACAGCAGACGTTTGGTTCTTTTTGAAAGGGCAAATTAAATTTAAAATGGATCTTTCAAGAAGCGTGTGCCAAACTATTTTCAATGAAACGAACTTAAGTTTTTAAAACGATTTTTAACGAACTTAATTACTAATAGCTCAACTGAAATCTCCTAAACTAATTCATCAATTCAAAGCTTCACGTGCAATATTTAGCAAAATAAAATACTAGTTAACGAAAATTGGTGGGCTTTAAGACTTTTAAAAACTTCAAAATACGGGTGTGAATTTAATACGGTTACGATGTTTAAACTGATTTTGTGTTTCGTAATCGTCTTGACACTAAAATCATCACCAGGAACCAACAGTTCACAACTGTCATCTCTTTTCTCAAAATAGTTTCTTGGCAACTTATCCTGTTTATGATAACAACCCGCACCGAGCACCCGTGGGCCATAATCGATTATTTTGTCATTTTACATTCAGTATCTATAAAATCACAAATTAATCAATTATTATCCATTAAAACTAATTAAAATCTTATTTTTTATATCAATTTAATCGAATAAAACCCACCAAAAACGAATTATAATCCAAATATTTCTTATAACAATATATTTAATTCCTTATAGTCGATTATAATCGATTATAATGGATTTTTTGAGAGGTTATTAATGAACTTAGTTCATACCTTCAAATTGTCAGATTATTACGAAAATTGGCGGCTCTTTTTCCTTTTCCCCCCACCTGCAAATTTTTATGTTTGAAGTTGCTGTTAACTTTGTCCGATTGCCATGAAAAATGCCATGCAGACTAATTAGGCCATGACAAACATATTTGGTTTTCACATTTAGCCTTGTAAAACAAGTGGTTACACCATAAAATTGATGCTTATGTGAGGTGGGGGTTAAGAGAAAAAGATTCTAGGCAGTTGCTACTCATTACGTTTCATAAACTTTTGTTGTTCACTTCTTTTCACTAAATTTTCTCCAATTTTTTCAATTTGGCAGTTTAACATTTAATTAATTGATTGCTTTATTATCACGATAGTAGAAAATCGCCAAAGAGATGATGAGTTTGCTTTGAGTCACTTCTCCCCCTTGCTTCCTCACCCTTTGTTTCCTGCCCCACCCCCCCCCCCCATTCAACCATTAAATAACCCCCTTCCACCAATAACCCCCCCCCCCCCCACTGGGTTAATGGTTGAATGGGGGAGGGAGAGGAGGAAACTTGATGAATGATGGGGGCGGGGTGACTCAACGTAAACTCCATCACCTCTTTTAGCAACCCTCCTCCCATTTTCCTTCCTCCTCATTTTGCCACCGCCTTCAGTTTACTGAATATTGGGTTAAAAATTGGGAGGGAGGGGGGTGATGGTAAAAAAATTTGTGGTTAAAGAGGTTGAGCTTACGTTGAGTAACTCCTCCCCGTTCATTGGTAAAAGCGTTGGGATGGGGGTGGGGGTAAACTGTAAACTGTTGGAGAGGGGGTCGGGGTTTTTCGGGGTAAACATGGGGATATGATAGGTTGAACTTAGTTTCTGTTTGCTTGTTATAACTGCTAAAGACGAGGCATGGAATTTTTGAAAAAAATTTAAAATTTCTACAAAAGAATCATAATTAGTTGTAAAAAGGGCCGCTTTTTTCTTTTCTCCCTCACCTTACACAATCATCAATTTTATGGTGTAACGAGTGATTTTACAAGGTTAGTTATGGTAATCAAACATGTTTGCCCTGACCTATTTAGTCCGTATGCAATTTTCATAACAATTGAATAATCAGAACAAAGTTTTTATTTGTAAAATTTTGCAGGTGGGGCGAAAATAAAAAAGAGCCCTGAAAATAAAGGGATGATAATCAAATAACTTGGATTATAATGGATTTTTGGTTCAAAAATCATCAGTGATAATTAATTATCTTGACAAAATAATCGATATCAACGCCAGAAAAAATGAATTATCATAGATTATAATAGATTTTTCAACAGTAATCTATTATACTGGCAATATAAAAGGTTTTGTGGTCTAAATTTTCCATCTGTTAGGGATTACAAAACAAATGCGGATGTAGGGTGGGGTTGGTGGCGGGGTGGACGTTTTCTGTTTCGACCCCACACCTATAAAAGGGACCCCCTTTAGTATTGTTTTATAATATCCATTTTTGGCTGACCACCCTGTTGGAAACGATAGTTTCGGGAGGTTAAACTCCAATGTTAATTAATAACTGTTTTCTAATAAGATCATAAGCGACAACTGAAATAGGAGATTACCAAAGGTGGTAAACGCTCCGAAGGTTAGTACCTGTCAACTGTGTCTAGCACCGCTGCAGAGTTGGTTGATTGACAGATGTTATAATGAACATAAACTAAACAATATGTGAACTAATTTACTCTTTATGACATTCCCCCGTTATGAAAAGAAATTGTACAAGTACAATGATTGATAGTTAATTACTCAGAAGGTTTATAATGGAAATTTAAAGTCTCAGCATGTTAAATGATAAATGAAACGAAATTTAATGACTCAGTAATGAAAATTTAAAGTACTCAAAATGTTCAAACTTTATGAACGGGAATTGAATTACTCCGAATGTCCTAGTCTCACTAGAAGAATAAATAATAAAAAAAATTTGAGTTTCGATTGATCCAGTCAGCCCTCTCCCTAGACTTCCTCGGCTTTGCTTTTTGTTTTTTTTTTAATTTTTCTTCCCTCCCTTCGATATCTGGTCGATCATGACTCCCCCCATCTTAGTGACCGCAGTGCGTTTCCTTCCACTCCTATGTGACGCTGTAGACTCTATACTGCTACTTGAATCTTGGCTTGAATATGATACCAAACGCTTTTCCTTTTCCCGTTTCGCCGTTCAGCTGTATTTTTTTTCCAAAAATGCACTCGTAGATTGCACCATTGGTGCAACTTCCTCCCCAAACGCTACATTCGATCGTCCCGTCGCCAAATTTTCTTTTAAAGCCGTCTCCGCTCCTTTAGAAACTCGCTTCTTTGCCTCGTTCTGCGTAGTCCGTTTTCCGCCTCGTTCAGTGTTTTCACCCCTAACTTCCGCTGCGCTAGCTATTTCTCCCGATTCTGCTACTTGCACTTGCATTTCTCTCTCGGAATTCCCCCGATCTGCCGGGGATATGGTCAGCACCGGTAGTTTCCCCGACGCCATTCGCCGCGTTTTTAATGGTTGGGGGTCTTCTTTGTCCGATTCCGTCTCGTTTTCCGGCTGAATTTGTCGTCCCTGTGGGACTGCGTAATTGGTGCCTTTGGCGGCCAATTTTTTCCGCAAATCCTGTGGCGTAGGAGGTTTTGGAACATTTTTTTGACATTTTTTGATGTTGCGGGAGATTTCTTGATGGCATGCCCGGAATTCCTAAGTAGTTGACCATTATTCATTGTTAACGTGTGTTAGCTTTCCGCGATAAATTCATGTTTGAGTAATCTATACCTTTTCCTCTTTTTATCTCCGGTCCGCTGAAAGAAGGAAACTGATGGCCCTGCAGTCTCGATTGTATCAGCCGCGACTCTTGCCGATGGCTCATTTTCCTGATTCAGGATCTGCTGGTCAGTCAAGAGGAGAGGATGTTTGCGCCTTTTGTTCCCGTACTCGGAATCCGATCTGACCCGGAGGGCTTCTTTGTTAGGTTTCTTAAAACTGTATTGGCCTCCCGACCGTGATGAGCTTCGAATTGAGTTATTTTGACGGTGACGTTATTTGGGAGTCGTAACGCTCCTAGAGCCTTTTGGAGCATCTTCTCCAAGGGTACCGTTTTTTTCTTCTTACGCCTAAGTTGAGATCGAGTTTTTAAACTGCCAATTGTTCGTTCAACACATCGTGTAGCGCGATGATCTTTGACTGGGGATTGTATTATTTTGATTCCCTCGCTGTTGCAAAATGCTTTGAGGTCTTTCGACATAAAGTTAGTACCTTAATCCACATGAATTTTCCTTGGTACACCGCGATTGTTTATGTAAGCTATAAAAAATTTCAAAATTTCATCCGATCGGTTGTTTCCGCAAACCATTGCCGATGGCCAGCGCGAGAATTGATCGACGTTACATTGACATACTTCTTAGATTCCTTCAAATAATTAATTAGCTCCTAAGAATCTAATTGCAACAACTCATTTGGTTCTTTTGGTTCTGGAATGGTTCCTAAATCTCCTTTACTACACATAGTTTTAAGGTTCTTACCAGCTGCAGTTCACTCTCTACAATTCTCTGCCATCGCCACAATGTTTCTATGAATATAAGGGAACCAGGCGTCTTTAGCTGCCGTGAACAAATTCGATTTTCCGTGATAGTAGCAGTGCAGTCTGTTGTTTATGGCCTTGTGTAGGATATTCGGTATTACTAATTTATCGCCCATCCATAGAACTTTATCGCGAACGTGGAAATCATCGACAAATTGTGAGTAATAACGATTCATATTGTGCACCTTTTGTTGTATCTCCGGGTGCTCTGCTTTCACCATTTCGTAAATTGCTTGTAGTTGTAAGTCTGATGTGTATTGTGATTCGATAAATTTCAGGTGTTCTGGAATTTCTGGGTACTCCAGAACACCTGAATTCTGGAAGGGCAGTGTTCTTTTGTACTATTTTACAATTTCTGGGTACTATTGACATTACGAAGTTTTTCGGGTCTACTGCCGGAAAAGTTTCTCTTGGAAATGCCAAAGGTATAGACAGTACAGTGTTCACCTTAAATATCGTCAATGAAGGCATGTGCCTGTGGAAATTTTGACAATATGGAATCCATCACTCTTAGGAATTCCGCCGGCATAGATGTTAGGCCGTAAAACCCCGTTTGAAATCGATACGTTCCTGCGATCTTCCCCCAGCTAATGAAAAACTACATTCTACGCTAGTTTCCGGATTAAAAGGGTAGTTGGCCGTATGCGTAAGTTAAATCCATCGTAGAAAAGTAAATACTCCGAGCTTTCTTTTCGCTAATCGCTTGGCCGACCGTGTCCATTAATTCCTCAATATTCGGCATCTGATATTTGTTTTTGTGGACTTGCTTGTTTAATTCCCAGGCCTCCAGTGCTTAGTTCACGGAACCATCTTTCATACCGTAATCACTCTTGGAGAGACGAAATATCGGTCCGAATAGTCAACAAGTTTTTCTATCTGCCCTTGTTGTAATAGTTTGTCTATTTGCCGGTCTACTTTTTCTTGCAACGTTATTGGTACACGCTTACCCTTTTGTTGGATTGGTACGAGAGTTTTAAAAATTTCAGCTTGTACCTTATAATGTCAGATTTTATCGACCCGTGTACAAAGTTGAGAAAACTGCTTACTAAAGTAGTCCTGCCATTAGTCCAGATTGTTTTCTCCCCCGGCGTTTTCTCCCTCGGCGTGCTCTCCATGAATCTCCATCACAAGCTCCCCAGGTGCCTTTTGAACTAGCTGTAGCCCCAAATCAGCCATCAGATCTCGATTAATTATTGATGGGCGGTTTCCTCCAATCACTTTGATGTTTGCTACCGTCTTCCAACCGTTTGATATCAATTGTACGGTCATTGTCCCGAATAAGCTCAGCGGGTTGTTATTGTGATCTCAAAAATCTTGATCCTCCGGTGCTAATTGGCTTAGATGTACTCCGTTGGTGCCCAATGTCCTCCTTAGCTCCCCAATTGTAAAGATAGATATTGGCGACCCGCTGTCAATTCATACGCTTGTTCTCTTTCCATTTTTTGCAATCGGTAGTTTGGCACCTGCGACCCTCAATTCTGTCTTTTTTCTCGATTTAATTGACATAACTAAATAATCCCCCGAACTGTGCGAGTCCCAAGAATGCTAGTGTTTTGGAGGCGGGGTATTAACCCATCCCACCGAACTTTCTTTCTTGTTGAGACATATTTTTTCGTCCATGTCTGCCTGATCGTACTGGTAATGATCTTTCTGCCCCTGAATTATCCCGATTGATTGACGCCTTCGGTTATTACGCTTGGCTCGGCAGGTCCATTCAAAATGGCCAAGCTTCTTGCAAAAATAACAAGTTGCTCTTTTTGCGGCACATTTGTTCATATGATCTTTAGTGAAACCGGGTTTATCGCAATTGTAGCACTTAGGTTCACCTGCATTTTCCCCTCCTCGGAGTTGTCCTTTTCCTTGGATCTGTCCTCGTCTGCGCCCTCGGCTATTCCGATATCCCCCACAAATTACGCCCATGGATTCTGTTTCTATTTGACGCGCTTCTGCCATCGGTGCACCTGCTCCGCCGGCGGCTCCGGATGTCGACTCATATGCTTTCGCATATTTGTCTCCCCTTTCGTATGACAGTGCTATACGGTATGCCTCTTCTGGTGTTTTTTTTGCGCGGCATAAATCGTTTTGGGCTTCCCTGTTTGTCATTTTTACAACAAAAACATCTCTGAGTATTCTGGACTCAAGCGTTCCAAACAAACACCGGGCTGCTAAGCCGCTAAGGATGGACTGGAACTGCTCCAAAGACTCACCGATACGTTGTTTGCGAGATAGTAGCTGGAATACCTCGTACGTCTCATTCCTTTCTTTCTTGAATTCTCCTTCCATCGCATCCAACACCCTTGGATAATGTGGCCTTCTCCATGTGTTGGATAACACATGGATCCAAATGTGGCCTTCTTTTATGGAACTCGTCTTGTCCTTTTTCTTCGGGTCACAGATATAAGTTTGATATCAACGTCTGTTTTGACTCCAATCGTGGTTTCCCATCCACCTCCGGTGCTAAGGCCGCGATTTGTGCCTCTGTAAGATTACTGGCGAAATAGAAATTTTTCGGATTTAAGGAGTGTTTTGCTACCATCCCCCACTGGAAGCGGTTCAGCCAGAATTCCCACAGCATTGGTGGCTCCGCGCATTTAGATGCCCAAAAAGACGTAATGCTTAATGGATTTTTCCCCCACCTTGATTTGCTGGAAACGATAGTTTCGGAAGGTTAAATTCCAATGTTAAGGAATAACTGTTTTCTAATAAGATCATAAGCAAAAACTGAAATAGGAGATTACCAAAGGTGGCAAACGCTCCGAAGGTTAGTACCTGTCAACTGTGTCTAGCACCGGTGTAGAGTTAGCTGATTGACAGATGTTATAATAAACATAAACTAAACGATAAGTGAACTAATTTAATCACTATGACAAACCTTAAAAACTTCTAAAAGCGACTTCTGCACCAAAATATACCAATTTTGAAGGTCGGCGGGCGCCAAAAAACACAAAATATGGTTTTTACAGTGTTCTAGGAGCGCTCGGAAAATCAATTTGGGCGACCTAAAAAAGGTCGACAGATAATTATGGATAAATTTTCTCTCGCAAATTCAAAATGATCGATTAAAATCCATTGGCGCTCGATGCGGGAACCTCTCAACCCTTGTCCAATGAAATGGTCAGCGATTCCGTTCGTTTGTTACTCGATTCGGAATTGTGTACTTAACGAATGAAGGCTCTTTTTTCTCCTCCCCCACCTGCAAATTCTTACAATTAAAATTACTGTTCACTTTGTCCGATTGTTATGAAAGTTGACATGCAGACAACTAGGCCATGAAAAATAAATTTATTCTTCATAATCAACCTTTTAAAACCACTCGTTACACCATAAAATTGACGCGTGTGTGATTGGGGGGGGGGTGTCGGAAGGAAAAAAAGCCGGGATGAAGATCAAATGTGCTTGTTTTTGGAAGGTAACTACCTCATATACCAAGTTTTGTAACCAATGGCCTATCTGAACAGAAATTAAGCAAATAAAAATGCAGCTGGAGAAAAATTGTTAAAACTTTTTTCTTTTTAGCCATTTAACAGATTGATTTAGATATTTATATCCAGCTTATCATTTAATTTATATATATATGGCTCTTTTCCTTTTCCCCCCAACTCACATGAGTATCAATTTTATGATCTAACAAGTGGTTTTACAAGGTTAATTATGGAGACCAAATATGTTTGTCATGGCCTAGTTTATTTGCATGTCAATTTCCATGACAATCGGACAATGCAAACAGTAATTTTATTTATAAAAAATTGCAGGTGGGGGAAAAGGAAAAAGAGCCTATTTATTTACGACCGGTTGCATTAAATTACAAATTTTTTGGTTAAAAAATAAAAGAATAAAATAAAAACATACAACGAGAAATGAGTAGGCCCAGCAGCACGGTAACCCAGAGCAAGGCATCCTCTAAAGTAACAACCAGCAGTGCATTCAATGGAAACAATTCTACTTTTAATGGAAGCAATAATGGCTCGGCAGGGGGTAGTACGGTTCTAAATTCTACAATGGATCTACTGGAGCAACTGGTGGCCGAATGTGCAGACGGATACAAACCAGACGCGACTGCACAAAGTGTGAGTGTCTAATCAACTCAATCAAGAACAAATCAAAAATCCAAGTGCTAGTGTACTGTTTAAATAGAACCGATGTTTTAGCGCATAAATTTGAGTCAATTAACGCCAGGATTCTACAACAAGTAGCAACATGGGACTTAAAACATCTAGTTTTTCCGCGTTTTAACAAAAGTTTTTGTACTTGCTCATGAAAGAGATTCCTGAAAAATGACAAATTCATATGACCATAAAAAAGCTGTCATTTTGAAAACTGGACAAAATATGAAGAATTTGAATTTTGATAGATTTTTAGAGGAAAGCTCAGATAATTTACTAACGGCTATGTAAAATTGAGCTCTTTTTCCTCCTCCTCCCCTCCCCACCTCACACGAGCTTCAATATATTAGTGTAACGAGTGGTTTTACGAGGTTGAGTATGAAGACCAAATATGTTTGTCGAGGCCTTATTAGTCTGTATGTAAATTTTCATAACAATCGGACATCGTCAACAAACTTACATGTAAAAAATTGCAGGTGGGGGGGGTAAAGGAAAAAGAGCCTAAAATTGATTTGAACTATAAGTAAGGGCTCTTTTTCCTTTCCCCCCCCCCCCCCCCCCCCACCTGCAAATTTTTACATGTAAATTTGTTGACCACATTGTTCGATTGTTATGAAAGTTTACGTACAGACTAATAAGGCCACGACAAACATATTTGGTCTTCATACTCAACCTCGTAAAACCACTCGTTACACTAATATATTGAAGCTCGGGTGAGGTGGGGGGAAAAGGAAAAAGAGCCTAAGTAAGAATTGTCCCAATAGTCCTTTAAAATGAGTAACCAAGAGACTGAAAGCACAACTTCAGTTGAATTTTGTCCATTAGAAAGTTAGAAATTTTCTACCAGTCATGATATAATTTTTAAAAGCAGTCTGATGCAAATTTAATTGTAAGCAATTTGTTTTTCATCCGCCGGTTCGGTGTATCAAAAGTTGTAAATCAATCAAACCTTGTTCAGCTAAGCTAAGTGGAACAACAGCATGAAGTTAAAACAAGACTGCTCTTATATCAGATCAGAGCAAAGAGTGTTCTATTTGCCCTTTAAACCTGAAAACAAAACGTTCTGCAAAAGAAAAGAAATTGATAAACTAAGAGAATGAAAATATTGAAAAATTTTTTGTCTTCTTTTTACACCCCCGACGCTAAGTAAATACAAAAGATTTAGCGTCGGATCTTAGGATCTTATAAACTAGTTCTTCCTTTTAGCACAATGGGGAATTACCTCAAGGCGAGAAACTCACATATGCTTAACCATTTATTTTGTTCCTTATAGGGATGGCATTTATTTTCTAGGGAGGGGCGGCTCTAGGAATTTTTCGAGGGGATGGGGCGGATTTTCAAAAAAATTTGAAAATTTTATCGATCTTTTTTTTCGGCCGACCAAAGTGATTTTTGAGCTCTCCCAAAATACTATAGAGACCCTAACTTGACAAAATTCTCTGCGTCGCAGGCAAATTTGTGAAAAAAAAACAGGCCACAAAAGGCGTTTTTATGCTTTTCTTGGAAAATTTCGACCAAAAAATCGGGTTTTTTCGGCGCGCGCTCCCACATCAAAATAAGTATAGGTTGCCGCCAAAGGCGCCTTTAGAAAAATTTTTAAGGTCAGTCGGGGCCAAAAATGGGCATCTTAAAATAGTTCAAAGGGTCAGCAGGGAGTCGAATCCCTGAAAAGGAAGCGTCCGCCCGCACCGCCCACCCCCTAAATCTAACACTGTAGGGAGGAAGCCATATGAGGGAGATTGATTCGTCCTTTGCGTCGGGTCTAGTGTTTTTGACCTTAGCGTCTTTCAGAGTTTTAATAAGGTTGAACTGCTGCCCTCAATTTATTTTGGAAGGATTTTAAAAATCCGCTTATGCGTGTTATATGCACCCAACATAACTCGGCTCTTTTTCCTTTCCCCCCCCCACCTCACATAAGCGTCAATTTTATGGTGTAACGAGGGGTTTTACAAGTTTAATTATGAAGACCAAAAATGTTTGCCTAATGAGTTTGCATGCAAATTTTTGTAACATTCGGATAAAGTGAACAAAACTTCTCTAGAAAAATTTTTCAGGTGGGGGGAAAAGGAAAAAGAGCCCATAACTCCCGTTACTAATTCCAAATAGGCCAAACTAGCAATATTCTTAGGATTGCGTAAAGAGGTCAAAAACGCACAACCCCAAAAACTTCAAAAAAAAATTAAGTTTGAAAAAATAAAGAGAACCAACCAAAGCTGGTTTCTCGCCGAAGCCTAAAACTTTTCAATAGCGGACCAACTCAGCTTGACGTAGCTGAGATTTTACTTTAACTTTGATTCAACGAAGATATGAATTATCAGAGGGAGGGGAACAGCTTATACCTGCTTCATTGTGCATACCAAGACAATGAAGTTTAACATCTTTTATTTAAGAAGAAAAGTCTTGCAAATGTCAATATAACTTCAATGGGTTTTTGGCGTGTGCCTGCAGCGAGTATTCAATGCTAGCATTACAATACAAGAACTCTAAAACGTTGTATCGCAATATTCGCAATTTTTTTACTCGTTGAGTTTGTGCAATGAGCCTTGATCCGGTCTCTATCTGTCTAAACCAGAGTCACAAGGCTCACCCAACTGCTGCTTCTTAATGTGGATCAATTTTACAAGCTGTTTTGAAAATTTGGATAATTCGATATAAAAGTACATTACATAAAAGAGGGATTAATCCCGCGTAGATTAAATCAAACATTTGAAACAATCTTTGTTGGTTTAAATCAGTTTTTTGGCGGTTATTAATTTTCATTCCATTTTTCTTTCCACTAAGTTGCTCGTTGCAAGCAACATTGCCGCCCACCTTGAATGAGCCAAGTTCATTCAACACTGACAGGGAGTTTCCTTAGTTTTATGCAAGGCCGGACGTAGCAGCCTCTCGCGGTTCTGACCTTAGCTGATCGACATTGGCTGTCTCTCCCAAGGTAGACTTCCACAACCCGAGCTAATGGCCATTGTAAGGGGGGTTGGTTTTCGTCCATCAGGAGCACAACATCACCAACTTCAAAATTTCGTTGTTTTGAAGTCCACTTCTTCCGTGGCTGCAGAGAAGACAAGTACTCCTTGCTCCATCGCTTCCAGAAAACTCCAATGAGTTTCTGCATATGTGCCCAGCGTTTGGCTGGATGAGTTTCAAAGGGCTGGAGTGTACTTGTCGTCAGTGGGGGCACTGGTATTGGCAGGTACTGCATTTCTTTCCCTGTCACCATCATAGCTGGTGTTAGGGTTCGTAGGTCCAGAACGTCGGTCGAAATCGGGAGGAGTGGTCGGGAGTTGAGGATTGCTTCAATGTCGCATAGTAGAGTAGAAAGTTCCTCGTATGTCAAAACATTGTTCCCCATGACTCTTCGCAGATGTGATTTCGCAAGTTTCACGCCCGATTCCCAAAGTCCACCAAAGTGAGGAGCTCCTGGTGGAATCATTGTCCAAGTGATTCCAATCTCATCTGCGGCACTTGGCATTGATTGTGTTCCGAACTTCTTGGTTAGGTTCATTTGCAGTTGCCTTAGTTCATTTTTGGTTCCAACAAAGTTCAGTCCATTGTCTGAGTACATCCTTGCTGGAGCACCACGTCTAGCACAAAATCGTCTCAAGGCAGCAGTACAAGACTGGGAGGACAAACCCGATGTTAGCTCCAAATGTATGGCCTTTGTTGTGAAGCAAACAAACAAAGCCAAATATGACTTTGACAGCTGTTTGCCATTCAGTGTCACAAAAGGACCAGCAAAGTCCACGCCAGTGTGAGTGAATGGAGGCGAAGGCGTTATTCGTTCTTTGGGTAGGTCTCCCATCAATGGTGGATTTGATCGTGCGTTGAATCGTTGGCACTTCACACAGTTTCGTATGAGGTGACGAATTGCTGATTGCGCGTCCACAATCCAGAAATGTCGTCGAAGTTCAGCAAGGATCGTATTTGCGGGAGCATGAAAATACTTCAGATGAATGTCCTGCAGGATGAGTTTGGCCAGTCGACTTTTCTTGGGTATCACGATTTGGTTGCGCTGATCATCTGCGAGAGTTTGGTTCTGACTCAGTCTCCCGCCCACCTTGATGAGTCCGTCATCAACGAGGGGGTATAGTCGCAGAAGATGGCTTTTCTTCGCAACTGATTCGCCAGCATTCAATGCCCTTAGTTCATCACTGAAGAACTTAGTTTGTTCGTTTCGTATTAGCTTCAGAAGGGCGTTGCGTCTATTCGTCAAAGAAGTTGGATGAACGTAACTGCCATCTTCTGGGTGCTTCTGGTTTCGATGTGCAAAAAAGGCAACATAGCACAGTACACGAATGCACTTCTCTAGACTGCTGAATTTTTCCAGATCTAATAGTGCGTCCAAAGAAGGCTTGACCAATTGGCAGCTGTTGACAACTGCGTTTTTCTTTCTTTCAGAACCAACTTTTGTTAGCTTTGGTTGGTCTGGAATCCGAAGTTCGGAGAGCCAGCTCGGTCCATGCCACCACAGTGAAGAGTTTTTCAGCGTCATTGCTTCGAGTCCACGAGTTGCAGCATCCGCTGGGTTTTCCTCACTTCGTACATGTCGCCAGTTGACTGGTTTCAAAACCTCCTGTACTTCATGCACTCGGTTGCGAACAAAAGTGTTACAGACGTTTGGGGTCTCGTTGAACCAACAAAGTACAATCGTGGCATCTGTCCAACCGAAAACTTCCTTCGGATTCCGTCCTATTTTTTGAAGTAGGATCGTATGGTCCATCTTTTCCTCGTATGGTCCAGCAACTTGCATCCTAGCACAGCTGCACACAATTCCAATTTGGGGATCGTCAACGGTTTCAAAGGTGCCACTCTTGATTTAGCCACAAAAAGATTGGTTGATTTCGTCTTTATGTTCCTGACGTAGATACAACTGGCGTATGCGGTTTCTGATGCGTCACAAAACAAATGAAGCTCAAAACTGTCCTCCACAACATGTCTCGGTATGTCAAAATTCTCCACATTGTGAACTTTAGTCCTCCACCTTAGAAACGTCTCCATCATATCATCGGGGAGTTTGTCGTCCCAATTGATTCCCCGCGACCAAGAGGATTGCATGATGAGTTTCAACGGAAGCGTCATCGGAGTCAGCCAGCCCAGAGGATCAAAGATCTTAGAGATGTCTGAGAGTAGAGATAGTTTTGTCATGTTCTCCTTCAGATCGTGGGCTACTTTGAAGACGAAGACATCGTTTGTCGGAAGCCACTTGATTCCTAATGCTTTCACAGAGTAGTGTTTTGCTGAGAACTCGTGTTCGTTTTCGCGCAACTCACTGGGCAAGGATTCCATGACTTCTCTTGAGCTGCTTACAAATTTCCGTAGAGGAAACTGTTTCGTTGCTAGCTGACATCTAACGTCATTGATCAGTTTCTTCGCCGAGGGTAAGTCATCTGCGCCAGTCAACCAGTCATCGACGTAGAAGTCTCGACTGATTGTTTCTTCGACACAAGAATGCTTTCCTGCTTCTATGAGTGATCGAACAGAGTGATAGCAACTGCTAGCAACTCCATATGTCACTCGGGTCATCCTGTATGTATCTATTGGTTGGTCGGGCACATCTCTCCAGAGAATTCGGTGGAAGTCCTTATCCTCCTTGTTAAGAGCCACCTGACGATAGATCTTTTCAATGTCTCCGGTGATTCCAATGGGGTAGCATCGGAATCTTAGCAGATGATCAAACAAATCGTCTTGAAGCTTAGGGCCAACCATCAGTGCATCGTTCAGTGAAATTCGGGTACTAGTAAGAGCACTAGCGTCAAAGACAACTCGTAGCTTTGTAGTTGTACTATCCTTTAGAACGCAGTGGTGGGGAAGGTAGTAGCATCTTTTCTCTGACATTGCGAGCTCATCTGGTGGTACGACTTCTAGGTGACCCATGTCTTGGAACTCTTTGATGAAGTCTCGGTACTGAGTGTACAAAGCCACATCCTGCTTAAGCTTGCGTTCCAGACTGAAGAATCGTTTGAGTGCATTGGCTTTGCATTCGCCGAGGGTTCCAACGGTTGTCTTGAAAGGCAAACTAACAGAGTAGCGACCATCTGGCTTAGTTATGGTTGTTTTGTCGAAATGATCCTCAACAAATTCTTCATCCTTCGATCGAGGGCATCGGTTCAAAGGCAAGTCCTCAATTGTCCAAAAGCGACTAATGTCCAGATCAGACTCCTGACGGACGAAGTTTGTTTGCAAAACTCTATCAGCATTGCACTTGCTTAGTAACTGTACTGATCCACTCACAATCCAGCCAAAAATTGATTCATCCAAGGTGAGAGACCCTTCTCGTATCCGTTTACCAGTGGTGAGCTCGTTTGCCAGTTCAACGCCACATAGAAGATCAATCCTTCCTCTTTTGTCAAAAGCTGGATCGGCCAGCGCATATCGAGATGGAAGGTTATGTTCGCGTACATCCACATCGTCTCCTGGTAGATCTGATGTGACTTGAGGCATGATGAAGAAGTCTGCTCGTAGTGTGTCTTCTCCGGGCAATGACAAAGTTATTGGAGCCAGTCCTCTCGTCTCCAATGGGGGGGCAGTTCCAACTGGTTTCACTGTTTGGTTGACTGATTTACGAGGCAATCCATTCCTTCGTACGAAGCTTTCACTGACGAAGTTCAACTGCGATCCATTGTCTATCAAGGCGCGGCAAATGATTTCTTGTCTGTGATGGTTGAACAGCGGTATCCTGCAAGTTCCAAGTAGGGCCGTTTTGTCAGGTTCCGTAGCACTAATTACAGTACACAGGTTGTTTCCACTCGTATGACAATCGTTCACAGTCTTTCTCTCAGTTGTAATAGGTTGTTCCCTGCGCTGACTGTCCGTGTGAAGAAGAGAATGGTGTCTTTTACCACACTGCTTACAATTGTGAGTGCTTGGGCATTTCGTTACCATATGCCCTGGGCGCAAACAATTAAAGCACAGTCGTTTGGAAGTCACTTCGTCTTTCCGTGTATGTACTTTCAACTTCTTGAACTCGTTGCATGCAGTTACAGTATGAAGTGCTCCACAAAACACACATTGCTCGTCCACAGTTGTTGCTCCATACGATTGCCTTCGGTCGATTTTACTTTGGATATCAGCATGTGCTTCAATTCGAGTCGTTGGTTTCTGTAAAGTGATTGATGACTTCACTGCTTCTAGTGCCCTCGCTCGCGCACTAATGAAATTGTCAAGCTCGTGTAGTGTCTGGAGCTCTCTTCCTGGGTTGTGAAGCTGCCATTGCTTTTGGCTTTCTGGATCCAGTTTCTGCTCAATCACATGAACCAGTATTGGATCCCAGTCTTGAGTATTACAGCCTTGCACTTCTAATGCAGCCACATTTTCGCGGAAACATTCCAAAAGCTTCCTGAGGTTTGTTCCATCTTCGGCTTTCAAAGTCGGGTAGTTTAACACAGCACTGAGATGCATGCTTACAATGAACCTCTTGTTGTCGAATCGGTCCATTAGAGTCCTCCTTGCGAGCTCGTAGTTCACGTCTGTTACTGCTACATTCTTGATCAGATCGTGTGCTTCTCCTCGAAGCGAAGACTTGAGGTGGTTCAACTTCTCAGCGTTTTGGAGGTTTGGGTTTCCATGTACAGCAGAATCGAACTGATCGATGAAGCTCGTCCACTCTGTATACTTCCCACTGAAGGAGGGAAGATCTATCTTAGGCAGCTTGATCTGACTTGATCTTGGTGAGAACATTGTATGAAGCCCGCTCGCTTCTCCTGTTAACCCCCTGGAAGACGCTTGCTGATCTTCCAAGAAATCATTCGTCTGCTGAATGAATTCTCGTACCTCCGCTCTGAACTCGCAAGCCGTTTCAAGCTCGGCTTGCAGACGTTCGTCTGGTACAACGTCCTCTATCAATCGATCCTTTTCACTGATCGATGTGAGGGTCTCTCTTATGACCGCAAGAGAAATTCGCAAGCCAGCAAGATCAGTCACTGGATTGGACGATCGGATTGAGTTTATTCGATGCCTATGCTTAGAAATGCATGTCTTGTGACCACTTCTGGAGTGAACCAGCTTCAGGTATGTTCGTCCTGACTGATCGTTTTGTCCATGTTGCGCGCTCACAACAGCTGGTTGATCGCTCTGCTCGTTCGCATTGCTCTGACCTGGTTGCTCGTTCGCAACTGATCGTACATCGCCTTGCTCGTTCGCGAAGCTTCGTAGATCGTACTGGTCGTTGGTATCACTCATAGTTCGTGGTTCGTGGTTAGTGGTTAATGGTTAGTAGTTCTTGGTTCGTTGTGTCCGGGTCGGCGGACCAATGGTTTCTCGCCGAAGCCTAAAACTTTTCAATAGCGGACCAACTCAGCTTGACGTAGCTGAGATTTTACTTTAACTTTGATTCAACGAAGATAAGACTGTATATCAGAGGGAGGGGAACAGCTTATACCTGCTTCATTGTGTATACCAAGACAATGAAGTTGAACATCTATTATTTAAGAAGAAAAGTCTTGCAAATGTCAATATAACTTCAATGGGTTTTTGGCGTGTGCCTGCAGCGAGTATTCAATGCTAGCATTACAATACAAGAACTCTAAAACGTTGTATCGCAATATTCGCAATTTTTTTACTCGTTGAGTTTGTGCAATGAGCCTTGATCCAGTCTCTATCTGTCTAAACCAGAGTCACAAGGCTCACCCAACTGCTGCTTCTTAATGTGGATCAATTTTACAAGCTGTTTTGAAAATTTGGATAATTCGATATAAAAGTACATTACATAAAAGAGGGATTAATCCCGCGTAGATTAAATCAAACATTTGAAACAATCTTTGTTGGTTTAAATCAGTTTTTTGGCGGTTATTAATTTTCATTCCATTTTTCTTTCCACTAAGTTGCTCGTTGCAAGCAACATTGCCGCCCACCTTGAATGAGCCAAGTTCATTCAACACTGACAGGGAGTTTCCTTAGTTTTATGCAAGGCCGGACGTAGCAGCCTCTCGCGGTTCTGACCTTAGCTGATCGACATTGGCTGTCTCTCCCAAGGTAGACTTCCACAACCCGAGCTAATGGCCATTGTAAGGGGGGTTGGTTTTCGTCCATCAGGAGCACAACATCACCAACTTCAAAATTTCGTTGTTTTGAAGTCCACTTCTTCCGTGGCTGCAGAGAAGACAAGTACTCCTTGCTCCATCGCTTCCAGAAAACTCCAATGAGTTTCTGCATATGTGCCCAGCGTTTGGCTGGATGAGTTTCAAAGGGCTGGAGTGTACTTGTCGTCAGTGGGGGCACTGGTATTGGCAGGTACTGCATTTCTTTCCCTGTCACCATCATAGCTGGTGTTAGGGTTCGTAGGTCCAGAACGTCGGTCGAAATCGGGAGGAGTGGTCGGGAGTTGAGGATTGCTTCAATGTCGCATAGTAGAGTAGAAAGTTCCTCGTATGTCAAAACATTGTTCCCCATGACTCTTCGCAGATGTGATTTCGCAAGTTTCACGCCCGATTCCCAAAGTCCACCAAAGTGAGGAGCTCCTGGTGGAATCATTGTCCAAGTGATTCCAATCTCATCTGCGGCACTTGGCATTGATTGTGTTCCGAACTTCTTGGTTAGGTTCATTTGCAGTTGCCTTAGTTCATTTTTGGTTCCAACAAAGTTCAGTCCATTGTCTGAGTACATCCTTGCTGGAGCACCACGTCTAGCACAAAATCGTCTCAAGGCAGCAGTACAAGACTGGGAGGACAAACCCGATGTTAGCTCCAAATGTATGGCCTTTGTTGTGAAGCAAACAAACAAAGCCAAATATGACTTTGACAGCTGTTTGCCATTCAGTGTCACAAAAGGACCAGCAAAGTCCACGCCAGTGTGAGTGAATGGAGGCGAAGGCGTTATTCGTTCTTTGGGTAGGTCTCCCATCAATGGTGGATTTGATCGTGCGTTGAATCGTTGGCACTTCACACAGTTTCGTATGAGGTGACGAATTGCTGATTGCGCGTCCACAATCCAGAAATGTCGTCGAAGTTCAGCAAGGATCGTATTTGCGGGAGCATGAAAATACTTCAGATGAATGTCCTGCAGGATGAGTTTGGCCAGTCGACTTTTCTTGGGTATCACGATTTGGTTGCGCTGATCATCTGCGAGAGTTTGGTTCTGACTCAGTCTCCCGCCCACCTTGATGAGTCCGTCATCAACGAGGGGGTATAGTCGCAGAAGATGGCTTTTCTTCGCAACTGATTCGCCAGCATTCAATGCCCTTAGTTCATCACTGAAGAACTTAGTTTGTTCGTTTCGTATTAGCTTCAGAAGGGCGTTGCGTCTATTCGTCAAAGAAGTTGGATGAACGTAACTGCCATCTTCTGGGTGCTTCTGGTTTCGATGTGCAAAAAAGGCAACATAGCACAGTACACGAATGCACTTCTCTAGACTGCTGAATTTTTCCAGATCTAATAGTGCGTCCAAAGAAGGCTTGACCAATTGGCAGCTGTTGACAACTGCGTTTTTCTTTCTTTCAGAACCAACTTTTGTTAGCTTTGGTTGGTCTGGAATCCGAAGTTCGGAGAGCCAGCTCGGTCCATGCCACCACAGTGAAGAGTTTTTCAGCGTCATTGCTTCGAGTCCACGAGTTGCAGCATCCGCTGGGTTTTCCTCACTTCGTACATGTCGCCAGTTGACTGGTTTCAAAACCTCCTGTACTTCATGCACTCGGTTGCGAACAAAAGTGTTACAGACGTTTGGGGTCTCGTTGAACCAACAAAGTACAATCGTGGCATCTGTCCAACCGAAAACTTCCTTCGGATTCCGTCCTATTTTTTGAAGTAGGATCGTATGGTCCATCTTTTCCTCGTATGGTCCAGCAACTTGCATCCTAGCACAGCTGCACACAATTCCAATTTGGGGATCGTCAACGGTTTCAAAGGTGCCACTCTTGATTTAGCCACAAAAAGATTGGTTGATTTCGTCTTTATGTTCCTGACGTAGATACAACTGGCGTATGCGGTTTCTGATGCGTCACAAAACAAATGAAGCTCAAAACTGTCCTCCACAACATGTCTCGGTATGTCAAAATTCTCCACATTGTGAACTTTAGTCCTCCACCTTAGAAACGTCTCCATCATATCATCGGGGAGTTTGTCGTCCCAATTGATTCCCCGCGACCAAGAGGATTGCATGATGAGTTTCAACGGAAGCGTCATCGGAGTCAGCCAGCCCAGAGGATCAAAGATCTTAGAGATGTCTGAGAGTAGAGATAGTTTTGTCATGTTCTCCTTCAGATCGTGGGCTACTTTGAAGACGAAGACATCGTTTGTCGGAAGCCACTTGATTCCTAATGCTTTCACAGAGTAGTGTTTTGCTGAGAACTCGTGTTCGTTTTCGCGCAACTCACTGGGCAAGGATTCCATGACTTCTCTTGAGCTGCTTACAAATTTCCGTAGAGGAAACTGTTTCGTTGCTAGCTGACATCTAACGTCATTGATCAGTTTCTTCGCCGAGGGTAAGTCATCTGCGCCAGTCAACCAGTCATCGACGTAGAAGTCTCGACTGATTGTTTCTTCGACACAAGAATGCTTTCCTGCTTCTATGAGTGATCGAACAGAGTGATAGCAACTGCTAGCAACTCCATATGTCACTCGGGTCATCCTGTATGTATCTATTGGTTGGTCGGGCACATCTCTCCAGAGAATTCGGTGGAAGTCCTTATCCTCCTTGTTAAGAGCCACCTGACGATACATCTTTTCAATGTCTCCGGTGATTCCAATGGGGTAGCATCGGAATCTCAGCAGATGATCAAACAAATCGTCTTGAAGCTTAGGGCCAACCATCAGTGCATCGTTCAGTGAAATTCGGGTACTAGTAAGAGCACTAGCGTCAAAGACAACTCGTAGCTTTGTAGTTGTACTATCCTTTAGAACGCAGTGGTGGGGAAGGTAGTAGCATCTTTTCTCTGACATTGCGAGCTCATCTGGTGGTACGACTTCTAGGTGACCCATGTCTTGGAACTCTTTGATGAAGTCTCGGTACTGAGTGTACAAAGCCACATCCTGCTTAAGCTTGCGTTCCAGACTGAAGAATCGTTTGAGTGCATTGGCTTTGCATTCGCCGAGGGTTCCAACGGTTGTCTTGAAAGGCAAACTAACAGAGTAGCGACCATCTGGCTTAGTTATGGTTGTTTTGTCGAAATGATCCTCAACAAATTCTTCATCCTTCGATCGAGGGTATCGGTTCAAAGGCAAGTCCTCAATTGTCCAAAAGCGACTAATGTCCAGATCAGACTCCTGACGGACGAAGTTTGTTTGCAAAACTCTATCAGCATTGCACTTGCTTAGTAACTGTACTGATCCACTCACAATCCAGCCAAAAATTGATTCATCCAAGGTGAGAGACCCTTCTCGTATCCGTTTACCAGTGGTGAGCTCGTTTGCCAGTTCAACGCCACATAGAAGATCAATCCTTCCTCTTTTGTCAAAAGCTGGATCGGCCAGCGCATATCGAGATGGAAGGTTATGTTCGCGTACATCCACATCGTCTCCTGGTAGATCTGATGTGACTTGAGGCATGATGAAGAAGTCTGCTCGTAGTGTGTCTTCTCCGGGCAATGACAAAGTTATTGGAGCCAGTCCTCTCGTCTCCAATGGGGGGGGGGGGCAGTTCCAACTGGTTTCACTGTTTGGTTGACTGATTTACGAGGCAATCCATTCCTTCGTACGAAGCTTTCACTGACGAAGTTCAACTGCGATCCATTGTCTATCAAGGCGCGGCAAATGATTTCTTGTCTGTGATGGTTGAACAGCGGTATCCTGCAAGTTCCAAGTAGGGCCGTTTTGTCAGGTTCCGTAGCACTAATTACAGTACACAGGTTGTTTCCACTCGTATGACAATCGTTCACAGTCTTTCTCTCAGTTGTAATAGGTTGTTCCCTGCGCTGACTGTCCGTGTGAAGAAGAGAATGGTGTCTTTTACCACACTGCTTACAATTGTGAGTGCTTGGGCATTTCGTTACCATATGCCCTGGGCGCAAACAATTAAAGCACAGTCGTTTGGAAGTCACTTCGTCTTTCCGTGTATGTACTTTCAACTTCTTGAACTCGTTGCATGCAGTTACAGTATGAAGTGCTCCACAAAACACACATTGCTCGTCCACAGTTGTTGCTCCATACGATTGCCTTCGGTCGATTTTACTTTGGATATCAGCATGTGCTTCAATTCGAGTCGTTGGTTTCTGTAAAGTGATTGATGACTTCACTGCTTCTAGTGCCCTCGCTCGCGCACTAATGAAATTGTCAAGCTCGTGTAGTTTCTGGAGCTCTCTTCCTGGGTTGTGAAGCTGCCATTGCTTTTGGCTTTCTGGATCCAGTTTCTGCTCAATCACATGAACCAGTATTGGATCCCAGTCTTGAGTATTACAGCCTTGCACTTCTAATGCAGCCACATTTTCGCGGAAACATTCCAAAAGCTTCCTGAGGTTTGTTCCATCTTCGGCTTTCAAAGTCGGGTAGTTTAACACAGCACTGAGATGCATGCTTACAATGAACCTCTTGTTGTCGAATCGGTCCATTAGAGTCCTCCTTGCGAGCTCGTAGTTCACGTCTGTTACTGCTACATTCTTGATCAGATCGTGTGCTTCTCCTCGAAGCGAAGACTTGAGGTAGTTCAACTTCTCAGCGTTTTGGAGGTTTGGGTTTCCATGTACAGCAGAATCGAACTGATCGATGAAGCTCGTCCACTCTGTATACTTCCCACTGAAGGAGGGAAGATCTATCTTAGGCAGCTTGATCTGACTTGATCTTGGTGAGAACATTGTATGAAGCCCGCTCGCTTCTCCTGTTAACCCCCTGGAAGACGCTTGCTGATCTTCCAAGAAATCATTCGTCTGCTGAATGAATTCTCGTACCTCCGCTCTGAACTCGCAAGCCGTTTCAAGCTCGGCTTGCAGACGTTCGTCTGGTACAACGTCCTCTATCAATCGATCTTTTTCACTGATCGATGTGAGGGTCTCTCTTATGACCGCAAGAGAAATTCGCAAGCCAGCAAGATCAGTCACTGAATTGGACGATCGGATTGAGTTTATTCGATGCCTATGCTTAGAAATGCATGTCTTGTGACCACTTCTGGAGTGAACCAGCTTCAGGTATGTTCGTCCTGACTGATCGTTTTGTCCATGTTGCGCGCTCACAACAGCTGGTTGATCGCTCTGCTCGTTCGCATTGCTCTGACCTGGTTGCTCGTTCGCAACTGATCGTACATCGCCTTGCTCGTTCGCGAAGCTTCGTAGATCGTACTGGTCGTTGGTATCACTCATAGTTCGTGGTTCGTGGTTAGTGGTTAATGGTTAGTAGTTCTTGGTTCGTTGTGTCCGGGTCGGCGGACCAATGGTTTCTCGCCGAAGCCTAAAACTTTTCAATAGCGGACCAACTCAGCTTGACGTAGCTGAGATTTTACTTTAACTTTGATTCAACGAAGATAAGACTGTATATCAGAGGGAGGGGAACAGCTTATACCTGCTTCATTGTGTATACCAAGACAATGAAGTTGAACATCTATTATTTAAGAAGAAAAGTCTTGCAAATGTCAATATAACTTCAATGGGTTTTTGGCGTGTGCCTGCAGCGAGTATTCAATGCTAGCATTACAATACAAGAACTCTAAAACGTTGTATCGCAATATTCGCAATTTTTTTACTCGTTGAGTTTGTGCAATGAGCCTTGATCCAGTCTCTATCTGTCTAAACCAGAGTCACAAGGCTCACCCAACTGCTGCTTCTTAATGTGGATCAATTTTACAAGCTGTTTTGAAAATTTGGATAATTCGATATAAAAGTACATTACATAAAAGAGGGATTAATCCCGCGTAGATTAAATCAAACATTTGAAACAATCTTTGTTGGTTTAAATCAGTTTTTTGGCGGTTATTAATTTTCATTCCATTTTTCTTTCCACTAAGTTGCTCGTTGCAAGCAACATTGCCGCCCACCTTGAATGAGCCAAGTTCATTCAACACTGACAGGGAGTTTCCTTAGTTTTATGCAAGGCCGGACGTAGCAGCCTCTCGCGGTTCTGACCTTAGCTGATCGACATTGGCTGTCTCTCCCAAGGTAGACTTCCACAACCCGAGCTAATGGCCATTGTAAGGGGGGTTGGTTTTCGTCCATCAGGAGCACAACATCACCAACTTCAAAATTTCGTTGTTTTGAAGTCCACTTCTTCCGTGGCTGCAGAGAAGACAAGTACTCCTTGCTCCATCGCTTCCAGAAAACTCCAATGAGTTTCTGCATATGTGCCCAGCGTTTGGCTGGATGAGTTTCAAAGGGCTGGAGTGTACTTGTCGTCAGTGGGGGCACTGGTATTGGCAGGTACTGCATTTCTTTCCCTGTCACCATCATAGCTGGTGTTAGGGTTCGTAGGTCCAGAACGTCGGTCGAAATCGGGAGGAGTGGTCGGGAGTTGAGGATTGCTTCAATGTCGCATAGTAGAGTAGAAAGTTCCTCGTATGTCAAAACATTGTTCCCCATGACTCTTCGCAGATGTGATTTCGCAAGTTTCACGCCCGATTCCCAAAGTCCACCAAAGTGAGGAGCTCCTGGTGGAATCATTGTCCAAGTGATTCCAATCTCATCTGCGGCACTTGGCATTGATTGTGTTCCGAACTTCTTGGTTAGGTTCATTTGCAGTTGCCTTAGTTCATTTTTGGTTCCAACAAAGTTCAGTCCATTGTCTGAGTACATCCTTGCTGGAGCACCACGTCTAGCACAAAATCGTCTCAAGGCAGCAGTACAAGACTGGGAGGACAAACCCGATGTTAGCTCCAAATGTATGGCCTTTGTTGTGAAGCAAACAAACAAAGCCAAATATGACTTTGACAGCTGTTTGCCATTCAGTGTCACAAAAGGACCAGCAAAGTCCACGCCAGTGTGAGTGAATGGAGGCGAAGGCGTTATTCGTTCTTTGGGTAGGTCTCCCATCAATGGTGGATTTGATCGTGCGTTGAATCGTTGGCACTTCACACAGTTTCGTATGAGGTGACGAATTGCTGATTGCGCGTCCACAATCCAGAAATGTCGTCGAAGTTCAGCAAGGATCGTATTTGCGGGAGCATGAAAATACTTCAGATGAATGTCCTGCAGGATGAGTTTGGCCAGTCGACTTTTCTTGGGTATCACGATTTGGTTGCGCTGATCATCTGCGAGAGTTTGGTTCTGACTCAGTCTCCCGCCCACCTTGATGAGTCCGTCATCAACGAGGGGGTATAGTCGCAGAAGATGGCTTTTCTTCGCAACTGATTCGCCAGCATTCAATGCCCTTAGTTCATCACTGAAGAACTTAGTTTGTTCGTTTCGTATTAGCTTCAGAAGGGCGTTGCGTCTATTCGTCAAAGAAGTTGGATGAACGTAACTGCCATCTTCTGGGTGCTTCTGGTTTCGATGTGCAAAAAAGGCAACATAGCACAGTACACGAATGCACTTCTCTAGACTGCTGAATTTTTCCAGATCTAATAGTGCGTCCAAAGAAGGCTTGACCAATTGGCAGCTGTTGACAACTGCGTTTTTCTTTCTTTCAGAACCAACTTTTGTTAGCTTTGGTTGGTCTGGAATCCGAAGTTCGGAGAGCCAGCTCGGTCCATGCCACCACAGTGAAGAGTTTTTCAGCGTCATTGCATCGAGTCCACGAGTTGCAGCATCCGCTGGGTTTTCCTCACTTCGTACATGTCGCCAGTTGACTGGTTTCAAAACCTCCTGTACTTCATGCACTCGGTTGCGAACAAAAGTGTTCCAGACGTTTGGGGTCTCGTTGATCCAACAAAGTACAATCGTGGCATCTGTCCAACCGAAAACTTCCTTCGGATTCCGTCCTATCTTTTGAAGTGCTTTCCTCGTATGGTCCAGCAACTTGCATCCTAGCACAGCTGCACACAATTCCAATTTGGGGATCGTCAACGGTTTCAAAGGTGCCACTCTTGATTTAGCCACAAAAAGATTGGTTGATTTCGTCTTTATGTTCCTGACGTAGATACAACTGGCGTATGCGGTTTCTGATGCGTCACAAAACAAATGAAGCTCAAAACTGTCCTCCACAACATGTCTCGGTATGTCAAAATTCTCCACATTGTGAACTTTAGTCCTCCACCTTAGAAACGTCTCCATCATATCATCGGGGAGTTTGTCGTCCCAATTGATTCCCCGCGACCAAGAGGATTGCATGATGAGTTTCAACGGAAGCGTCATCGGAGTCAGCCAGCCCAGAGGATCAAAGATCTTAGAGATGTCTGAGAGTAGAGATCGTTTTGTCATGTTCTCCTTCAGATCGTGGGCTACTTTGAAGACGAAGACATCGTTTGTCGGAAGCCACTTGATTCCTAATGCTTTCACAGAGTAGTGTTTTGCTGAGAACTCGTGTTAGTTTTCGCGCAACTCACTGGGCAAGGATTCCATGACTTCTCTTGAGCTGCTTACAAATTTCCGTAGAGGAAACTGTTTCGTTGCTAGCTGACATCTAACGTCATTGATCAGTTTCTTCGCCGAGGGTAAGTCATCTGCGCCAGTCAATCAGTCATCGACGTAGAAGTCTCGACTGATTGTTTCTTCGACACAAGAATGCTTTCCTGCTTCTATGAGTGATCGAACAGAGTGATAGCAACTGCTAGCAACTCCATATGTCACTCGGGTCATCCTGTATGTATCTATTGGTTGGTCGGGCACATCTCTCCAGAGAATTCGGTGGAAGTCCTTATCCTCCTTGTTAAGAGCCACCTGACGATACATCTTTTCAATGTCTCCGGTGATTCCAATGGGGTAGCATCGGAATCTTAGCAGATGATCAAACAAATCCTCTTGAAGCTTAGGGCCAACCATCAGTGCATCGTTCAGTGAAATTCGGGTACTAGTAAGAGCACTAGCCTCAAAGACAACTCGTAGCTTTGTAGTTGTACTATCCTTTAGAACGCAGTGGTGGGGAAGGTAGTAGCATATTTTCTCTGACATTGCGAGCTCATCTGGTGGTACGACTTCTAGGTGACCCATGTCTCGGAACTCTTTGATGAAGTCTCGGTACTGAGTGTACAAAGCCACATCCTGCTTAAGCTTGCGTTCCAGACTGAAGAATCGTTTGAGTGCATTGGCTTTGCATTCGCCGAGGGTTCCAACGGTTGTCTTGAAAGGCAAACTAACAGAGTGGCGACCATCTGGCTTAGTTATGGTTGTTTTGTCGAAATGATCCTCAACAAATTCTTCATCCTTCGATCGAGGGCATCGGTTCAAAGGCAAGTCCTCAATTGTCCAAAAGCGACTAATGTCCAGATCAGACTCCTGACGGACGAAGTTTGTTTGCAAAACTCTATCAGCATTGCACTTGCTTAGTAACTGTACTGATCCACTCACAATCCAGCCAAAAATTGATTCATCCAAGGTGAGAGACCCTTCTCGTATCCGTTTACCAGTGGTGAGCTCGTTTGCCAGTTCAACGCCACATAGAAGATCAATCCTTCCTCTTTTGTCAAAAGCTGGATCGGCCAGCGCATATCGAGATGGAAGGTTATGTTCGCGTACATCCACATCGTCTCCTGGTAGATCTGATGTGACTTGAGGCATGATGAAGAAGTCTGCTCGTAGTGTGTCTTCTCCGGGCAATGACAAAGTTATTGGAGCCAGTCCTCTCGTCTCCAATGGGGGGGGGGCAGTTCCAACTGGTTTCACTGTTTGGTTGACTGATTTACGAGGCAATCCATTCCTTCGTACGAAGCTTTCACTGACGAAGTGCAACTGCGATCCATTGTCTATCAAGGCGCGGCAAATGATTTCTTGTCTGTGATGGTTGAACAGCGGTATCCTGCAAGTTCCAAGTAGGGCCGTTTTGTCAGGTTCCGTAGCACTAATTACAGTACACAGGTTGTTTCCACTCGTATGACAATCGTTCACAGTCTTTCTCTCAGTTGTAATAGGTTGTTCCCTGCGCTGACTGTCCGTGTGAAGAAGAGAATGGTGTCTTTTACCACACTGCTTACAATTGTGAGTGCTTGGGCATTTCGTTACCATATGCCCTGGGCGCAAACAATTAAAGCACAGTCGTTTGGAAGTCACTTCGTCTTTCCGTGTATGTACTTTCAACTTCTTGAACTCGTTGCATGCAGTTACAGTATGAAGTGCTCCACAAAACACACATTGCTCGTCCACAGTTGTTGCTCCATACGATTGCCTTCGGTCGATTTTACTTTGGATATCAGCATGTGCTTCAATTCGAGTCGTTGGTTTCTGTAAAGTGATTGATGACTTCACTGCTTCTAGTGCCCTCGCTCGCGCACTAATGAAATTGTCAAGCTCGTGTAGTTTCTGGAGCTCTCTTCCTGGGTTGTGAAGCTGCCATTGCTTTTGGCTTTCTGGATCCAGTTTCTGCTCAATCACATGAACCAGTATTGGATCCCAGTCTTGAGTATTACAGCCTTGCACTTCTAATGCAGCCACATTTTCGCGGAAACATTCCAAAAGCTTCCTGAGGTTTGTTCCATCTTCGGCTTTCAAAGTCGGGTAGTTTAACACAGCACTGAGATGCATGCTTACAATGAACCTCTTGTTGTCGAATCGGTCCCTTAGAGTCCTCCTTGCGAGCTCGTAGTTCACGTCTGTTACTGCTACACTCTTGATCAGATCGTGTGCTTCTCCTCGAAGCGAAGACTTGAGGTAGTTCAACTTCTCAGCGTTTTGGAGGTTTGGGTTTCCATGTACAGCAGAATCGAACTGATCGATGAAGCTCGTCCACTCTGTATACTTCCCACTGAAGGAGGGAAGATCTATCTTAGGCAGCTTGATCTGACTTGATCTTGGTGAGAACATTGTATGAAGCCCGCTCGCTTCTCCTGTTAACCCCCTGGAAGACGCTTGCTGATCTTCCAAGAAATCATTCGTCTGCTGAATGAATTCTCGTACCTCCGCTCTGAACTCACAAGCCGTTTCAAGCTCGGCTTGCAGACGTTTGTCTGGTACAACATCCTCTATCAATCGATCCTTTTCACTGATCGATGTGAGGGTCTCTCTTATGACCGCAAGAGAAATTCGCAAGCCAGCAAGATCAGTCACTGGATTGGACGATCGGATTGAGTTTATTCGATGCCTATGCTTAGAAATGCATGTCTTGTGACCACTTCTGGAGTGAACCAGTTTCAGGTATGTTCGTCCTGACTGATCGTTTTGTCCATGTTGCGCGCTCACAACAGCTGGGTTGATCGCTCTGCTCGTTCGCATTGCTCTGACCTGGTTGCTCGTTCGCAACTGATCGTACATCGCCTTGCTCGTTCGCGAAGCTTCGTAGATCGTACTGGTCGTTGGTATCACTCATAGTTCGTGGTTCGTGGTTAGTGGTTAATGGTTAGTAGTTCTTGGTTCGTTGTGTCCGAGGTCGACGCGGACCAATGGTTTCTCGCCGAAGCCTAAAACTTTTCAATAGCGGACCAACTCAGCTTGACGTAGCTGAGATTTTACTTTAACTTTGATTCAACGAAGATATGAATTATCAGAGGGAGGGGAACAGCTTATACCTGCTTCATTGTGCATACCAAGACAATGAAGTTTAACATCTTTTATTTAAGAAGAAAAGTCTTGCAAATGTCAATATAACTTCAATGGGTTTTTGGCGTGTGCCTGCAGCGAGTATTCAATGCTAGCATTACAATACAAGAACTCTAAAACGTTGTATCGCAATATTCGCAATTTTTTTACTCGTTGAGTTTGTGCAATGAGCCTTGATCCGGTCTCTATCTGTCTAAACCAGAGTCACAAGGCTCACCCAACTGCTGCTTCTTAATGTGGATCAATTTTACAAGCTGTTTTGAAAATTTGGATAATTCGATATAAAAGTACATTACATAAAAGAGGGATTAATCCCGCGTAGATTAAATCAAACATTTGAAACAATCTTTGTTGGTTTAAATCAGTTTTTTGGCGGTTATTAATTTTCATT